GCCAATCAAATCTGTTTTTAAATATCTGTTTATATTTAGCTGAGGATGAAAATAGACATCATAGCTTTTCATAACATTTGTAAATTTAATTACATTAGAATAGACAATTTGATATAGTTCGTGTCGCTGTCAAAACAATTTCTCCAAGATAACGTTGCCAAGACAGAAAAGCAGGATTCCAATCTTGTTCTTCAAAAAAGTATACGAGCAGAAATTGACTTTCCCTAAATTATATGCACTGGCTGCAAGCGTTGCCACATTCGGTTCTAATACCGCTGTGTGTGAAAGCAGCTTTTCAACTCTTACTCGCGTTGACTCACTACAACGACGATCTATGACTCAGTTTCGCCAGCGCAAACAGGAAGCGTACCCAGAAAATTAACTTGGACGTATTTGTTCAACGTTTTGCCATAAAACATACCCGACTACGTTTAAACTAAAACGGCAATAAAAATGTAACGTATTATAACTTGTGTGTTTTAACAAAAATAATCTCGAATCTAAAATACTCCGTGAAAGTCCGTTTCCCGACGTTTAATCGTCTGTCAAGGTGCTTTGCTAAATTGCCCCCCTCGATTGCACGTTGCACCAGGAGTACTGGTCAGGCTACGAGCGAGAGTGGTCGATTGTCTGTTGACGAATACAGCCGCAGGAAGCCACAGCAGGCCACAGGCAACCGATGTGAACGGTTTGCGGACGATTTTATCGAAAGCACCAGATTACAGACGAGACAAGGGGGCCTCAATCGGGTCAAAAGAAGGGGACGATTAGAGACGATTCAAAACAACAATCAGGCCGATCATGTTTCATCGTGGACCAGATCGGGGCGATTAAAAAAAACAATTCTTGGTGAAATGGGGGTATTATCTTTCATTTTGATAATCAACTGATATAACAATCGTAAACAATTTGAGTGAAACAAGTTGAAAATCTATTCTTTCGTGTAACATAAGTTTCATAGAATTCATACTCAATATCAGATTTTTTCGGTTTTGGTTTCATTTACTTGAAAAATGCTTTTACCAAGACCATCAATATTCAAACCCCATGGGGATTTAACACCAGAATATCATTATCAGCTGTAAGGACTTCCGCAATCAAAGTCTAATTGACAGGGTGGTGTCGGATGTTCCGGAAAGGGGGAATATTATTGTCAAAGGAAATAAGTATGGAATTTCCCAATTAACATTTCCGTCTGGATCAATTAATCATCATTCCGATTCAATTTTTATTGACGGTAAAGAATCAATTGATATTCAAGCTAGTAAGCGAAGTTAATTTGTAAATAGGAACCCTGTTGAGACTAGAAAACAAAGCCAGATTGATTTACTGAATAAATATTGAATTTTATTACTTATTATATTTTCTGATTTGTCGATAACATTCATTTATAAGGATATAAAAAGTTTCATTGTTGTATTAGTTTTCATTTTATTATGTCATAACATGCTCATCAAAACATAGATTAATTACAGTTTAGTTTAGGTTCTATCTTATCAAGCGCCACATCATGGTGTGGAATACTATGCAATAGATTTCAAGACTTCCATTCAGTTGATTTCAAGACTTCCATTCAGTTGATTTCAAGACTTTCATTAAGTTGATTTCAAGACTTTCATTCAGTTGATTTCAAGACTTTCATTCAGTTGATTTCAAGACTTCCATTCAGCCAATTTCAAGACTTTGATTCTGTTGATTTCAAGACTTTCATTCAGTTGATTTCACGACTTTCATTTAGTTTGTATTAATACCAGACCGTGGCAGACTTGATTGTTCGGAGGGGCAAAGGAGGAGCAAGACTTTCATTCATTTGATTTCAAGACTTTCATTCATTTGATTTCAAGACTTTCATTAAGTTGATTTCAAGACTTTCATTCAGTTGATTTCAAGACTTTCATTCATTTGATTTCAAGACTTTCATTAAGTTGATTTTAAGACTTTCATTAAGTTGATTTTAAGACTTTCATTCAGTTGATTTCAAGACTTTCATTCAGTTGATTTCAAGACTTTCATTCAGTTGATTTCAAGACTTCCATTCAGCCAATTTCAAGACTTTGATTCTGTTGATTTCAAGACTTTCATTTGGTTGATTTCAAGACTTTCATTTGGTTGATTTCAAGACTTTCATTCAGTTGATTTCACGACTTTCATTTAGTTTGTATTAATACCAGACCGTGGCAGACTTGATTGTTCGGAGGGGCAAAGGAGGAGCAAGACTTTCATTCATTTGATTTCAAGACTTTCATTCATTTGATTTCAAGACTTTCATTCAGTTGATTTCAAGACTTTCATTAAGTTGATTTTAAGACTTTCATTCAGTTGATTTCAAGACTTTCATTCAGTTGATTTCAAGACTTCCATTCAGCCAATTTCAAGACTTTGATTCTGTTGATTTCAAGACTTTTCATTCAGTTGATTTTAAGACTTCCATTCAGCCGATTTCAAGACTTCCATTCAACCAATTTCAAGACTTTCATTCTGTTGATTTCAAGACTTTTCATTCAGTTGATTTTAAGACTTCCATTCAGCCGATTTCAAGACTTCCATTCAGCCGATTTCAAGACTTCCATTCAGCCAATTTCAAGACTTTCAGTAGGTGGATTTCAAGACTTTCATTCGGTTGATTTCAAGACTTTCATTCGGATGACTTCAAGACTTTCATTCGGTTGATTTCAAGACTTTCATTCGGTTGATTTCAAGACTTTCATTTGGTTGATTTCAAGACTTTCATTCAGTTGATTTCACGACTTTCATTTAGTTTGTATTAATACCAGACCGTGGCAGACTTGATTGTTCGGAGAGGCTAAGGAGGAGCAAAGGTGTATGGTGTTTAGTTGTTTGAATTGGCCGATTGCCCTTTAACCTTTAACAAACAAACACATTACCATTGTAAAATTCACAAGATACGGGGTTTCCAGTGGGTTTTTTTTGATGGGGAACGCCACTTGGGGTTCCGTTCCGTAAGATTGACTAGTGAAATTGTTTACTATATTTACATGGTAATGAAGAGAAGAAGAACAAAGAAAAGTTAGTCAACTAGGGATACATGTTAATACATACTTTATAACTAATTGTTCATTTTGATTAAATATTGATCCACTTTACTTCTGAGAGAAACTCAGAGTTGAACTTGTTTCTTGAATCTAATCTTCTGACAGGATGTGTATCGTTGTCAAACTAGTACATTTAAAGTATATTTAAAGGTTCATAATATGTCGATGGGGGGCTGTGAAAACTATTACTGATTAGCTTAGCTAAAGAATTCCCGTTTCTGAGACTAAGGTAGAATTGGTTAGGTGGATGGTGAATCTGTCCCTTTATAACATTATCTATTATCTGTATTATTTAAGTCAACGGGCAAGGTCTTATGTTTAGCCTTAGCATCATATACCCAGGGGAAACAAAGAGCTAGGAGCCAATCTTATTACAAACAACTATCATAGTCACTAACAATTAACTAGTTCGACACGTGAATACAACATGCTTTAGACCTTGACCTGAAATACCTCTACATAAACAATAGTTGATTAATTGTTGATCAAATCTCTAATCAAATGGACGAAATGGTCATATCCTGTGGTTTCAAACTCACAAAAAAACATGATTATTTTAACACGATAGCGAACTCTGCCTTTTAGCTGTTACTTTAAAATCCAATACACTACAATAGACAGTTAGAATAGTGATGGGTAGAGACAAAGTGTGGTCAGAAACATGAAAGAGAAATTATTATAATTAGAATTATAGATTAGAGTTAATGAGAATAATAGTTTCAACAATATACAATATTTACTGAAGCGAGAAGTAATCATACATGCAATTAATGCCTGATAGTTACGTCCAAATGTTCTTAGCATGCAATCTCACCAGCACATGTGAGAGACTATATGAGAATAGATGCTAGGTATGAGGGGACAAATTTATAGATAACTGTAAGAATGGCTGCTAGAGACTGGATGTTTATCAACAACTGCAATAATAGCTATAAGGGGTTAGTGACCCTTCAACAGCTTCAAGTATGACTAAAAGAGGTTAGAAATTTTATCAACAACTGTAAGAACGGTTAGAAGAGGCTTAATTTGACATCACAAATTATTTAACAACTGTAAGAAGGGAAACAAGATGTCTGATTTGACCCGACAAAAGACTTTGTGGCTACAATAAATGCCACAATGTACAAATTGAACACGATATATCACCATTCATTATGTACAAAATCTACACGGGGACATCTACATCATCAGAGGGTGGTGAACTAATCACAGGTTTATAAACTATATTGATAACTCCACTATCTACTAACTGATAAGTAATAAATTGTTGATTAGTAGGATGTGCTCGACTTGTTTTAAAGGATTTTAACATCATTATAAGAATTAACCCTTTCCACTTCATCTGCCAATACACTTGTGCTATATCAAATACTTACACAATATTAGCAACCACACATAATATAAACATATAGGTCAATCAATTCTAAACAAATAAGGCTAGAAATTGAATAATATAATAATTTTACTATAATCGACTTAAAACCTATAATTTAAGTGTTTCTTTCACACAATAACAACTGTGGTGTGGTTTGAAACTGCTATTTATATATTTTGTGACGCTTATTTATGTCACACTAAAGAGGCATTCATTTAGCCCATATAAGGTTGAATTTCCCTGCGGATGATTAAGTAAAATATACTTCCTCGCTTATGATAAAAGATTAAATCAAATTTTGATTTCTTCTACATAGTACTAAAAACAATTAGAACTATATGTCGTAATGCGTCTTACGGTTGGATTTATCATCATGTTTCAACATGTTCGTGCGATCAATGTATAGTGAAAAGGGAACGTAACTTCCTTTCTCCTAGGCAACTGGGTCTCTTAGACTCTGATGTCATAGAGGGCTTACTTCTCCCTTTAAAATAAGACCTTTCACGGGGGTTGGGGCGTGAATCAATGGCCGACCCACATAAACACGCCAGTCGATAAATACACAATACAATGACATATTAAAAATTTATTCACTTAAAATATCAACAGTGAGTTCAAGAGAACCCATTTGTTGTAATAAATCAGAGAGGTCATTTCTAGTGTAATGGGGGAACATAACTTGAAGCCTATTTATATCCTCATTTACAGAATCATTTGCATAGTTTTGAGTTACCGGGGAAGAACCTTTAGCCTCCGAACTGCTTTTTGGTACTGGCATATCTCTTCTGGAAACTTCTGTATCTGAAAAAGATTCCATTAGTTAAAAATTCCTTGCAAGGGTTGTTTGTAATAAGTATCCATATATATTCACATGTTCTGTGCGTGTGTCCATTATTTACAAAACAAACCAGAATTAGTATTATATAATAGACTGCTGACGGGTCGGTTTGAAATGATGTGACATCATGCATATTTATTACCTTAGAGAATCACAGTATGAAATTTCTAAAATTTCAGATGTGTTGTAGAAGTGATGACATGGGCGAAGGTCTATTGTTAAAATGTGCAATAAATCAAACAAATAATTCAGATTTGTCTAAATAAACGTAATATGTTGGTACAGTAACTCAAACCATACTTAAAACTTTTACCTTGATTGTTTTGGGGGGCAGTAGGCTTAGGTTTATTTGCTTCCAAACGATCTAAAAATGCTGCATTTTTTCTGAAATGTGAAATAAAATGTATTGTAAAAACTTTGCCTCTTTACGTCAACATAACTGAAGAAGTAGTGTATTGTTTAATGCTTGCATTCAATATCTTAATTTTTAAGATTTTTTAGTGGGAGAGTTTGCCCAAGGATCCCCTAGTATGGCCTGCGCCTTTGACACTCGCTTCATTTTCCTGAATTGTTTTTTGGCAGGCACCTCCCTCCTCCGTCGACAAAAAAAAGGTTCTACACTTTTCAATGGACATTATCCCTTTCAGGATTGTCTTAACATATAAGTATAGTAGTCATACACAATCATAGAAATAAAGAACGATAATAGATATGTTATATGTAGATATATTGGTTATTAATTATTAATAGCTTCCACAATAGTAACACACCTTCTCATTTCATCTCTATGTCTACCTTCTTCTTTCTTCCGTTTCTCTTCATTGAGCTCTGACTAGAATATATAAGATACATAACAGAATAGAAACACTGAACTCTGACTAGAATATATAAGATACATAACAGAAATAGATATAACACATCAAGGATTGGCTCTCTGCAAGGGTTGCTACAATCTATCCACAGGGGTTCAGACAGTCTATCTACAGATGTTCAGACAGTGTATCTATTTGGACCCAAGTCAGTATATCCACAGGAGATCAGAGAGATCCACAAGGAATTGGGCAGACAAGTGTATCTACAGAGGACTGGTTTAGACATGCTTATCTAGAGGGGTTCAGACTGTTTTATATACAGAAGTTCAGACAGTCTATCTACAGAGGATTCAGACAGTCATATATATAACTACCAAGGTTCGGGCGGTTTTATTTACAGTGGTTCAGACAGTCTTCTCTGGAGAAAATCAAACTGTCTATCTACAGGGGTTCAGACGGTTCAGACAGTCTTTTCTAGGAGGGTTCAAACTATAAGTGGATCAGACAATCTATTTCAGTTGTTCAGACAGTCTACAGGAGATCAGAGTATCTATCTAAAACGGCTCAGTCTGTCTACAGGAGATCAGACTGTCTATCTAAAACGGCTCAGTCTGTCTACAGGAGATCAGACTGTCTATCTAAAACGGCTCAGTCTGTCTACAGGAGATCAGACTGTCTATCTAAAACGGCTCAGTCTGTTTACAGGAGATCAGACTGTCTATCTAGAGGGGATCAGAGACTACCCAACAACTACCTAGTTTGCGATATCTGCATCCGCTGGAAGCGAATGTTAACTTGTTATCTACCAACCAACCTGTCTATCTACAGGGTCAAATAGACTATATACACTCTACACCGGTTAACACTGCCTATCTACATAGATTCAGATAGTCTGTCTACAGGCTTTGGACAGTCTATCAGAGGATCAAACAGTCTATCTACAGTGGCTCAGACTGTCTAGTTCAAACTGTATCTTACAGGGGTTCAGACATTCTATCCACAGGGGTTCAGATCGTCCATCTAAAGGGGTCCAGACTGTCCATCTAAAGAGGCTCAGACTGTCTATCTAAAGAGGTCCAGACTGTCTTTCTAAAGGGGTTCAGACTGTCTATCTAAAGGGGTTCACACATCTAACTAAAGAGGTCCAGACTGTCAATCTAAAGAGGTCCAGACTGTCAATCTAAAGAGGTCCAGACTGTCTATCTAAAGGGGTTCAGACTGTCTATCTAAAGGGGTTCACACATCTAACTAAAGAGGTCCAGACTGTCTATCTAAAGCGGTTTAGACTGTCTATCTATAGGGGTTTTAAGTAAAATGCTAAGAAATTTGAGAATAGCAGTCAATCTACAGGGGTTTAGAACACTTTGATGATTTACAGCTGAATCTCCACAGTTTACAAATAATCCATAACCACTGACTGATAGAAATCAACCTACATCAACTCAATTATTGCTTCATAATGAGAAAATTAATAATGAGTCAGACCAGTGTAGATTATTATTTACACTAGTTTTAGTAATTAATAGAGACCTAGATTATTACTAACAATAAACAGTTGGTGTTCTATCAATAAATTATAGACTTATAAATACAAACAATACATCAAATAATATTTTTCTTTCAAATATTAACTTTTCTAAACATCAAAGACTTATTGTCCACATTGGTGTTTTCAAAATGTTTTCTGCTCACCTGGATACCTGCTGTTTCTTTTATCAGACAGTTATTTTCTAACAAGTATGAATAATTTTAAGAAATTGGATTGGATAATGAGAGAATGTTGTCATAATAAAATTCACTATTCAACTATCAACAATTTACCAAATTTAGTAATTGACACGAGACTTTTACATTATGGCAGCACTGATCTGAGTGACGAAAAAAAAAACCTTATCATAGACACTATTCATACATTCTTTTTTCAGACCAAGCGTTTCAAGTTATTAACATGATGATTCTGGCTTCGAAATTTACGACACTTAGCTTGGCCGTGGGCCATGATCTAGATCCGAAAGTTGGAGAGTGCTGTTAGGGGGGATCTATCTATCTATGTGTTTATCATATCTGTCTATCTATCCATCTGTCCATCCTATCTATCCATCTGTCCATCCTATCTATCCATTTGTCTATCCTATCTATCCATCTGTCCATCCTATCTATCCATTTGTCTGTCTGTCTGTCTGTCTGTCTGTCTATCTATCTGTCTATCTATCTATCTATCTATCTATCTATCTATCTATCTATCTATCTATCTATCTATCTATCTATCTATCTATCTATCTATCTATCTATCTATCTATCTATCTATCTATCCATCCATCCATCCATCTATCTATCTATCTATCTATCCATCCATCCATCCATCCATCCATCCATCCATCCATCTGTCTATCTTATCTTATCTTATTGTATTAATAAAAAAATAATAAAATTCACTATTTTCAAACAAAATAAATTTAAAGCTAGAGTTTTATGATTAAAATATTTATACAAAGTGGAGGACCATGGCCACTTCATAATAATTGATTGTCATTTGATGAAAATTTCTTTTTTTTGTAAACAAAAGTTTATTCATAAGTGAAATCCTTAAACCACACTTAACAGTGTCTCCAAGTTTCAATGGCTTGCATCATTGGCAATTGGGCAATAAGTAACATACATTAACATCTTATCACCCCATGATACAAGGGATAAAGAACTTGAAGAAAAATAATTCAAAAACAAACCTGTCTTCTAGCAGCCATTTTTCTTTCCCTGTACACCATTTCTTCATTTTCTTTCTCTGCTGCTCTATAACTCTCTCGCTTAGTCTACAAATATCATAATTATACATAGAAATTAGTGTTAAGATGAAATTAGACTAATGTTATTTCTGAATATATATTTGTTTCTATGGGAGCCTGTATGATTCGGTAAGTTAGACATTTGCTCGTTAACCTAAAGGTCTGAGGTTTAATTCTGACATCAAGTTGAGATAATACCTTGGGATGTGTATACCAGGTACTCCCTGTTAATGATGCAGACTGAAGAAGCTGACATCAAACACCAGTTTTACATTCCAATTGGACAATAAACCCCCCTTGTGAACAAGTTGTTGTTGATGCCTTGACAGCATTTAACACAATAGATTAGTGACAGTGTCATGACGAAATTCTCCCCATTGGCTGACATTGTACATTATGTTACCAGTCTTCATACGTCGATCAGAATAGTGGGATCCTTTCCATTTCTGATTAATATTATGGACGATTCAAGGTTTCTAAATTTTCGACTAGCTATTCAATTTTTCTTCAACAAAAATACAATACCGGGACCAATATAATGATAGTTGAGGAAATCAATACAAATAAAGAGAGATAATGCTTGGAACATAAATACTCTCAATCGATATTACTTGTAAACTCTTGAGACTGATCAGCATTGTTCACTGTTGGGTTAACAACTTTCTCTTTACTCTCAGATACTCTTAACCTACCTCCCCGCTCAAAAACATGATATTTTATAACTAGTGGCTTGAGATAGTCTGAGAGAAATATACCATTTCATGGATTATAAAACACAAAACAAACATATTTAGCAACAAATACATCCTTAAAGCTTATTCCATCATAATGATATTCAAATGAATATCTTTTCAAATTCTAGCACAACAAATGCTGCTGTTGGAAGTCTGTAAAATTAATATTTTCTTACCCTACTATTATAAGAAGCTTTAGAATGTTGAATAGCAGCTTTCCTTCTGGCTTCCTCTTCAGAAATAAGACCTCCACCTTATTCAAAAATATTAGAATAAGTTTTATAGGATAAATACATAAAAATACAGAAAATATCTTTCCCTTCTCGCGACATAGACATTATTGACCTGCAAGGTATATGTAAGTAATTTCTGTTTTTTGGTAAGAAATATTGTCACCTGCTGTTCCTACGTAAGATACATGTTGTATTCTCTGTTCTTCTTTGTGCCTTTCATATTCTTCTAGATTCTTCGTAGCTTCTATAATCAAAAACAATAGAGTCTTGGAAGTCTTTTTTACTGAACCAATATACACTTCAACAGTTCAAATTAAATTGTCATAAATATAAAATATAATAGTAGGGCATTATTAAGGTTGATAATAGGGCTGGGAAATATACCAGTATCAGGATAAATACCAGTATAGGAATTTATATTGTTAATAATATCGCCCAGCCCTAGTTGATAAAAATATATTAAGGTTAGCTATTTGTTTAAACTTACGCTCAGTTATTGCTCTTCGTTTCTTCTCATTCGGTGACACCATAGTAAAACCTGATGTACTGAAATATAAGTCATAGCCTACATTAATAATAGCTCATAAACAATTATTTGTAGATGACTGATATCTGTAGGACATATTATTAAACTTATACTGTGTTTGGTCTAGTATTTTCAATAACTATCTGAAATTCTGTAGGCTATTTTGTAAGGTAGCATTGACCTGTGATGTGTGTATAACTGTTTGAATGAAAGACGAGGAACAGAGAAACACTTGGCAAAAAGCTAATTGTCGAAGAAAAAACATATATGAAGAATCAAATCAATTTAAGAAGATTTGGTATTTACTGTGTAGTTCTGTCTTGATTGGTTTCGCTGCCATTGGGCCTGTTAGTTGAACCCTCTGGCTGTTGATCAGCCTGATAACTTTGACTATTAACTCTCATACGAGCGTCTCTAGGCCTACTGAAAGACATATCATTATCATTGTCATACATGGTGGCACCACGTCCCCTTCCACCACCTCCTCTAGCAGTTGTGGACCCTCTGTTTCTTGCTGTTCCTCTGGATGAATTATTAAAGCGGTTTGGAGTTGATTGACCTACACCTGGAATTTTACTCGATGTCTGTTTTTCTCCTCTATTTATGATTGACCCTCTAACAGAATTAGACGAGTTTGTCCCTCGTCCTCTACCACGACTAGTAGTCGATGCTTTCGAAGTAAATGCCTTACTCATTATGTTTTTTCCAACTTTCTGTTTCACAGCTAAAAATAATCCATTAATTTGACTTTTTTGACGGGGGATTCCCTGGTAAATATAAACAAACAACAGCGCCATCTAGTCAGCTCCCTAAAATTGTGTAGTAAGACCGATCACAGTTACATTTCTATTTCAAAATAATGAAAAAGTTTTGAAGCCATATGATTGTTCATAAAAGAATAAGTTATTGATTAAATATGAGAGGTTTTGAATCTTAATCCATTATATTAGTCTAATTCATAATAATATTTGACTTACATTAATGAAGAGTCCCTGTGATTAAATAATCAAGACCAACATAAGGGAATCCCCAACGTGTGAATGAATGAAAATATGAACTTTGTACCCTGTTAATACAATCGTTGAAGGTGACAGGCATACTTTGGGTCCCAAGTCCATCCCCATCCATGTGGACCATCGGACGAATGAGTGTTGAAGCCACCCGAAGATTAAAACAGTTGCAGAGAGTTCTGAAGAATGGTGTGCGAGGCATTGAAGGGTCGACAACTGCAACTCGGCTTCAAATTCGACTGAACAGCTCTGAATCAGGGGGTACGTTGATCAATATTATCATTGGCAATAAATATCTCCGATTAGATATTGTGATCAAGATAATTATCAGAATTAGGGGTTCTATGCACAGTTTGTTAAAATAATGACCAAAAAAAACTTATTAGAGCTTGTCACAAGGCAAGATAGATGCATATAAGACTGGATGATGAATTGATATTAAACAGATTATGACCATGATCAGGGACAAGTGATATTTCCTACACTAGATCATAAAACATTTTACAATTTTTTAAAATTAGCTAGGGTATTGCTTAAAGCTATTATCTTCTAATGATACACAGAAATCAATCAACCTTATGGCTGGCTGTTAGTTAGGTCTATAATTATTTTCTTCAGTGAAATCATAAATAGGCATATAAATATTTTGTTTTTTATTTCTATTTTCAGAAAATAAGACAGTATCTATTGGTGATATCAGCATTAAAGTTAAAGAATCAAAACATCCAGAACTTGTACCGACTAAATACTGTAAGTATACATTATTATTTAATCTTACCCTTAACAAGTCTTGACTGATGGTAAAAGTTTTGTATCAAACTGTCCAGTATGAATCTCTTCTATGGCAATGTAGAGACTCAGTATGATATAATTCTCATTCTTGTTGTTCACACTGAATGCTGATGCCTACATTGCAAAACATAGGACTCCATTTGAAATATAACATGAGTTGCTCATAACATAACTGAAATGAATGGAGTTTTACGTCCTACTTTTCTGCACCATGTTGGCTAATGAATACGGTCAACGCCATGCAGGATGCAACAAGGGGAATTTTGCCAGGACAGTGACATTAGCCTTCTCTTTTTCAATTTCCAACTTTTGAGGGATTTTTAACATGCACAGCCTGTAGCACACGGGGCCTCAGTTTATCCAAACGAATGTCTCATCCAAAAGACTAGACGCTTTTTGCCATGTCAGCCCCTCTTACCTGCATCACTGACTGGGGAAAACCAGGTTGAAAAATACAAAGGTATTATCTCGACCTATGCTGGGATTGATTAGTGAGCAAGCATCTAACTCACTGAGCCACACTGAGGTTTCTGTAGTAATAAAGGTGAAATCTGATATTATTATTCCAGTGCCTAAAGAAGTACCTCAGTCCATATTAAGACATTTAAGATGGATAATGCAAAAGGTAATGTTTTTACAATGTTTTAATGTGCTGCTTGTTTGTTTTTTTCATAGACGGTGATAAATTCTCAAATTTTTGGGAATGCACAAGCAATTACTATTAAAGCAAACAATTTAGGTTACATTTCATAATTTGGGTTTTATCTGAATATACACATTATAAGTAACTGTTTCATACTGAGATGTTAAACATTAAGTAAGAATTTCACTGAACTGTTTCAGGATCTCCTTGGTCAGGATGTGTTTCTGATTGGTCCACCAGGTCCATTCAGAAGACAGGTGGCTCTCATGTATTTGGTAAATATCAGTTTATATACATATATATTTATGCAGTATGGAATTTTTAGAAAAGGCAATGTGTGAAAACCAAAAATATAACCAAAAAAAATAATATGTATCAGATAGTTTTCCTTCCATCATCCTTTCAATTTATTTATAGTAACTGGCTTTGCTGCAGTGTTTGATCAAAATCTTTTCTAAAGACTAAGATACTTTTTGTAAAAGACATATGAAGAACATTTGCTAATTATTCTTATAAACTGCTTGTTTTAGGAACTAACTGGAAGAGAAGCAGAATATGTTTCACTGTCACGTGATACAACAGAATCTGACTTAAAACAGAGAAGGGAAATAACTGGTGGTACAGCATATTATCTGGATCAGGTAGGTGTAGTCAGTAAAGGCTTTATATTATTTGTCTATATCTGTATATCTGTATATATCTTTTGAGAGATATTTACATGGGAACTTTTTATTACAAGAACAGATAATTGTCATTTCAAATCCTAGTACTATATCCATTGAATGTAGTAATTATCTATGTATTATTCACAGTGATAGATTTTTTTTAGACATACTCCAGGGGACACTATATTCACAATTATATGGTATACGCTAATACAGTTCTTGATTCAATTTGCAACAACATTAATTTCTTTTGTTTCTGTTAAATTTGATTCTGTGGACTAGCATAGAATAATAAATTATGCAAATCTCTTCTCACCTTTTCATCTTCCTATCTATTGTAGAGTGCAGTAAAGGCAGCTTTAAAAGGAAGAGTGCTAGTATTAGAAGGAATAGAAAAAGCTGAAAGAAATGTCCTACCTGTGTTGAATAATTTATTAGAAAATCGTGAAATGCAGCTGGATGATGGGAGATTTCTTGTAGCAGCAGATCGTTATGATAAGTTACTGGAAGAACATTCTAAAGAGGAACTTGATTCCTTGCATTTAGTTCGCGTTAGTGAGAACTTCAGAGTTATTGCCCTTGGTTTGCCTATTCCTCGTTACCAAGGCAACCCCCTGGACCCACCATTACGATCCAGATTCCAGGCTAGAGATATAAACCCATTACCATTTAAGGTAAGTTTTTTTACTGTATGGATTTGAATGTGAGTGTTCTACTAGCTGGTATAAAGCAGATCCATTGAAGAGAAATGAAAACCCTTTTTCTACTGTAAAGTTCTTAGCAATGATATCCACTAAATGTCCTCTTTAACACAACAAACTATCGGTGCCCAATTTTAGCTATTATTTAAATGTTTCACTATATTTATCCATTTTTTTACTTTCTGTTTTTTTTTAGGAATTATTGAATAATTTACAAGAAAAGACATCAAATATACCCTCAGTTAAGTAAGTTGGTTTTTCACTTTGACATAATGTTATGCTGGCAATCCATCTTGTAAGGTTTCTAATTTTATGCTCTAGTTTAGGCTATTGATTATGAGAAATGCCATGCAATATTCAGTGAGATTTTGTCAGCATAGCATTATTAACCTGCTCTTTTTCCATATAGGATTACCAAAGGATTTTAGACTACACAGGATTTTGCTTAGCATCCCATACTAATGAGGGAACCATCTTTTAATGACAGATTCTCAGATCTAGAAAGGAGAAATCCTGATTATGCACAATCAATTACCTAACTTTTGGTTTTCTTTCAGAATTGCTCAGATGCTATCATTTGCTTCTACCATGTTAACAGCAGAGTCTGTAACTATGGGTCTGCCTGATTTTCCTCTAGATAATTTAAAACATATTGTCAGTATCATGGTGAGTGTTTTAGTATATATTAAGCAAATATGGCTGAACATACCTTACTGTTTAAACAGTACAGACAGCATTTTGAAGATTAATTCATTCATTATATATGTTTGACGTCTGTAATTCTATAAAATAGATTTTTCAAATGATTTTTTGTCAGTATTGCTCATGGATTTAAGACATTATGGGAAAGAGATTTAAAGTCTTTCTGGTAATAATACACTGATTAACTGAGCTATATTATATTACCCTTTATTCATGTTAAATGATTTCTATTTACAGGATAATATACCAAATTTATCAAGTCATGAGATGATCCATAGATTATACCCCTATACTGTTATGTTGGGTCCTGATGGTAAAACAGCTGTAAATGATACTCTTAATGTAAGTGTTAGGATTTCATTTCTCTTTTGTTCGAATTCGAATTTTGTTATGACAGTTGTGTAACAATTGATTCCTTACATGTATTTATTCATTAAATAATGTGTTAAGATGATGACTGAATGCATAGTGTTTGAGGATCATTATGGCTCTTAACAGTCATTGCATGCCAATGTTTTAATTTCGTTACATGATTGTAAACTTGCAATTACGATTAAAGCTGCACACAAAATATATTTCACAGTCAACTATATATGTTTAATATTGTAGAAATTTGAGTTAGTAGATAAAGGTATGATTGAATCTGGTGTAGTTGGTTTAAATAAAGATGGTACGAGAGCTGATGTTACTTTACAACATGGTGGACAACAATACCGTCTTAATGTTAGTATCTGGTATTTTATTTTCTAGTCAATGGCTGGGATGATAAGCAAAGTCCTGCGCACTTTAAAAATTCATTAACAGTTGGATATTGAAAAAGAGTAGGTTAAGGCCACTTCTTGGCACTGGTAACATTTCCCTTATTGTGCACTGCATCGCATTGCCTGCGTTTATTAGCCCAGTTAAACATAGACAAATAGAATTTTAAATTAGAATAGTAATTTATAGCAACATATTAGCAAGAATGTTGTCAGCCATATTTGAAAACAGTTTAAGTTATTCGCCAAATTTTCAGAGATCTAATCCTTTTCTGTAGAAATAAAATATTTTAGTTGTTTATTCCAGGTGGCAGCAGGTGTGTTAAATGGTAATACACAGTCTGAGTTTGTACAAACCAAATATCATGATACATTACTATCACAAATGTTACAGTCACATTTAGTTCACGACTTCGCTCTCATTGGACCAAGGGTAAGTACTATATTCTGTTGAATTGAGTTGATTCTGATACCATCTGCGGGAATTAACCTCAATCGGTCATCTGGTTTAAACAGAACCTGAAAGGCCATGTCCTCCGAAATATTATACACAATTTCTAGATTTGCAAACACATAAGCATTGATAGCTCTCTGTTTATTAAATGAGGTTCATTCCTAGTCAATTGATTTAAATTTTCTTGAGACTGTTGTATTAAAAGCATGTCCTCATTATTTAGATTTGGTCTCAGACATGAATAATAAAAGTGTAACATGAATATACCTGTTTATGACTGACAGTGTTATATCTATTATATATCGATAGGGTTGTGGTAAGAGTGCTGCTATCAAGAAGTTTGCTGATTTATTGGGTTATCATATAGAACCTATCATGTTATATCAGGTAGGAGCATTTTGATATTTTGACAAATATTTGTAGTTATGTTATGTAATGATTAGAATTGTAGTATAAAAATTATCTTTTTGTTATAATTATTCTAATAACACATATAGTACAGAACTGTCAATGCCATAGTTTGACTCTTAAAGTGGTCCTTGCAATAGCTTTTGTCAAAGTATTCGCTTGAAAATATTTTCAGGATATGACATCAAGAGACTTACTTCAACAACGAACAACATTACCCAATGGTGATACAACATGGCGGCCATCACCCCTAGCAACTGCAGCTAAAGATGGTAGTTTAGCTGTATTAGATGGTGTTCATAGAATTAATCCTGGTTCTTTTGCTGTTTTACACAGGTATTTAAAATTTCTTTTAAGACCTAAGCTGGTGTCACATTGATCTGTCATGAAAACATGCTGCTTATATTTCATGCTGTGAAAGATTTGATGTTTGTGATATTCACCTTTTCCTCATATTTATTTTGTGACTGAACATAAAATTAGATATATAAAACTAAGTAATTATCCATAAAACAACAAGTAATTATCCATAAAACAACAAGTAATTATCCATAAAACTACAAGTAATTATTGAAATGATCTTCAGTGATTAGCTTGTTTTCAGAAGTATTGCAATATCCAGTTATATTTTCACTCTTTATCATAAGAAGACACATAGATTATGTTAATGTATATGAAAAAAGATACATTTTTAAATGATGGATGTTGTACGTGTATATGTTATTGTTAGATTAATACATGAAAGAGAACTTCAGTTATTTGATGGTAGTAGATTATTACATACAGATAAATATGATAATATAAAAACTCTACATGGCTATACAGATCAAGAAATGGAAGACAGGTAAATTTCTTATTTCAACCATATAACATCTTTAAAATAAAGCTCAAATTTGTATTTGTTAGTTTTTAGTTATTGTTAGATTATGAATTACGAATACCTGAAGTCTTCAGCAATAGTTATGAATGAAGCGATACTGACTTTAATAGTACTTGGTCAATTTCTTCTGGAATTACAGGAACCAGACATGTGAATGGGAAATTGGAATGTGGAAAATACATTTTATAATCTTCATAAGTTTCCTCATGAATAGACAAGAAAGCCTCTCTCAAACGCCTTTACAGTCCTGACCCTTGGTTACAGGAATTAAGATATCCTAATCCCAGATATTTCATAAATTGATAAAAATTTTAGACTGTCAAATCTTACCCCTAAAGTGTTTCTAAAGGTTAATATTGACTGCTTTGTAGGTAATTTCAAAGCATTATGAATTGCATTTACTTTAATATGAAAAGCTGCCTTTCCAGTAGGGGTTATTAACAATTTGTGTTTAAATGTATTGAAAGATAGGTTTTTTGGTTATTATTGAGAAATAAAACCTCAACAAAATTTGATAAGTTGCAGTTGTCACAAGACCTTTACCTACTATAGCCCTGCCATTTTTATCATAGTTTTGAAATCATGTAAAAAAGTTTGTTTTTTTATAAAAGTTTAAATTTTCTGTGTTTAATTCTACAGGAGTATCTATCCAATTCATCCATCATTCCGTATGGTAGCTCTATCTGAACCACCAGTAGTTGGTAGTAGTAAACAACAATGGTTGACACCAGAAATACTCACCATGTTTTTATACCATAAAATACGACCTCTATCAAGACTAGAGGAGACTGAAGTTATACAAAAACTGGTAGGCTTCAAATGTTATTGTATTAGGAGTAAAAAGTTTTATTCCCTGTAACATTATATAGGATTGAGGTTAAATCGATCTATAATATTTATCAGAATGTAAATCTGGGATCTTATTTTCTAAGACTAAAAAAAATAACCTGCTGTTACAGTTTAACAACAAGATAACAGAATAAAAATGATAATTATGAATAGTTTGTAAATAATTCTTTATATTAACAGGTACCAGGGGTACCAGATTTAGATAAATTATTTCAGTTGGTTCATAATTTACGAGATTCAACAGATGCTACAGTACGTGTTTCTTTTAATACATATATCAACTTCATTCTTCCAAACTGAAGCATAGTTTGGACGTAAAACTCAGGTCTTTTATTCATTCTATCCATAGTGAATGTTTTTAAGCCTGTTTTGATTAAATATTTTATTTTATTTTGATATAATTCCTTCACTCTTCACTCTTCACTCTTCACTCCACATCCACATATTGCACATCATTTGAATATTCATGCTCGCTAACCTGTAGGTCCAAGGTTCAATCCTGACATAGGTTGAGATAATACCTTTGGATTTTTCAACCCGATTTTCCCCTATCAGAGGTGCTGACATGGAAAAAGCGTCCAGTCGTTTGAATGGGACAATAAACCGAGGCCCCGTCTACAGGCTGTGCACGTTAAAGATCCCTCGACAGTTGGAAATCGAAAAAGAGCAGACTAATGCTGCTGTTCTGGCAAAATTTCCCTCATTGTACCCTGCATTGCGTTTCCCGTCTTCATTAGCCCACATGGTGCAGAAAAGTAAGATGTAAAACTCCATTCATTTCATTTTCATTTGAATATTCATCATTATCATTTATTTTTTAGCTCCAGTCTCTTTCATCATCATTATCAACACGTCAACTGATACGTATTGCTAGAGTTTTATCAGCATATCCTTCTAATGATTTATACAACATTGTACATAAAGCTTGTCTAGCTAGGTAAGTATTGTCTATACAACATCGTACTTAAAGCTTGTCTAACTAGGTAAGTATTGTCTATACAACATCGTACATAAAGCTTGTCTTGTTAGGTAAGTATTGTCTAAGCAATATCATATTGAAAGATTGTCTAGCTAGATAAACATTGTCTATGCAACATTGTACATTAGGCTTGTCTAGCTAAGTAAGTATTTTTATACAACATCATACTGAAAGCTTGTCTATCTAGGTAAGTCTTATCTATTTTATGATAAAATAAAGTTTACAAGTGATGTTTTTTTATTTCAGATTTTTACCTAGACTAGCCAGGTCAGCATTAGATCAGTCACTAGAAAGTGTTGGTATTTTACCCCCAAAATCTGATAGTACTACTACTTTACTTCATGATAATATAACTTGTAAGTATACTCCTTATATTTTTTATGTATATCTAAGATTTTGTAGTGTTTTGATAAACTAGAAAATAAATTGCTGTCAAGATTCAAGAATTCCTTCTTCTGTTATATAGGTGAAGTTGATAATGGTAAACTACGTATTGGTAATACAGAAGTTAATGTTTTTATACCAGATAATCTGACTAAAGTTCCTGATATTCTATTCTATGATAATCCTCAGGTACGAAACTTGTGTTATATGTAATCCAGATTAACATTAAAAAAAGATAAATCAATAAAATAACTTGTTTCCATTGTGTTAATTAGTTAAATATCTTAACATAAGATGATTTGATGATGATAATAACTAATCATGAAGAAATGTCCGATGTTCTTTCTTAAGATGATCAGTGGTTTATAAAATCGAAATATCATCCTTAAAACATCACAAATTATTTGATAGGAGTAATATTCTATTATACCCAAGATAGTATAATAATTACCTTATTTGATAAAGCATAATTCTCCAATTTTTTTTTTGTTTTTTTGTGCTCTTTGGCTTTAGTTCTATATCAATGGAATAAAATTATTGCATGCTTTATAACATGACCTGTATATGATTTTCAGCATTTAAGTGTAATGGAAGATATGTTAAAAGATTTTACTCTGGGTGAACATTTATTATTAGTTGGTAACCAAGGTGTCGGAAAAAATAAGATCATAGACAAATTTCTACAATTATTAAATAGACCTAGAGAATATATTCAACTACATAGGTATGTATTACACTGTTACAGTTACATTTTGATTTTAATTTGATTGCATTTACTTGAAATTGTTCAGATATTTGTTTTCATTAATAATGATTTTTATGCACGTCTTTGTTTTACATGCATCATAAAATATATTTTGTTTTTCCCAGAGATACCACAGTTCAAACATTAACATTACAACCTACTGTACAAGATGGTGTTATTATATATGAAGATTCTCCATTGGTATGTACATCTTGTCTCTGATATTCCTTCTAAGAATATTCTTCAGATGAAATTTATATGCTATTTGATAGAAGTTTTAGTGCACATTATAAAGCAGGATTGTATAAAACCAAAACTATGAATTGATTTCACACATAAATTGTAGGTAAAGGCAGTGAAACAAGGTCATATATTAGTGGTAGATGAGGCTGACAAGGCACCAACTCATGTTACTTGTGTATTAAAAACATTGGTTGAATCTGGTGAAATGCATTTAGCTGATGGACGTAGAATAGTTAGTGGTATGTACTGTTTAGTTTTCTTTCTCCCTGTCAGTGATGCAGGTCGAATGGACTGACATGTCTGACTGTCGTTCACGTAAGACAGAAAATTGAGGTCACATGTGTTACATTCTCTCACTGCTCACCTTGAGGCATTTCCCAATCAGGTGCAGAAAAGTAAGTCGTTTCATTTAGTATTCCAAGCCATTCATAGTATTTTGTAAATTTCATGCAAATAAAGAATAAGTCACAAGCTTTGAAATGTTCAAAAAAAGCCAAAAAAGGCCTACAATATACTCAATATAATATAATATCTTACTGACACCCATATTCTAAAAGTCTATCTATGTTTCAGCTACTTCTGGCTTTAAACCATCAGACTCTATCATAGTTTCTCATCCTGAATTCAGAATGATGGTGTTAGCCAATAGACCTGGTTTTCCTTTCTTAGGCAATGATTTCTTTGGTGCAATGGGTAAGATCATATGTTTTATTTCTTGTCTATTATTACTTTGTATGTTAAACTTAGAGGAACTGTAAAGACATTTTCTCTTGTCTTGTTATGGGCCTTATGCACACTTACATCTTTCAGTTTCATTATTCCAATTTTGTGTACAATAAAATATTCCAATGGACGTCTTGTCCAAATATCATATGCCTATACTGTATTCAGTTGACAAAATTGTTGTTGTTTTAAAGGGATTTTATATGCCTATTTACAGTTATCTTGTTTTACAGGTGATATATTTAGTTGTCATGCTATAGACAATCCTGACATCCAGTCAGAAATGTCCATGTTAAAACAATATGGTCCTGATGTTCCAGAAGCTACCTTAAAGAAACTAGTTCTAGCGTTTGGTGAACTACGTGATATGGCTGATCAGGGATTGATAGCGTATCCCTACTCTACTAGAGAAGTTGTCAATATGGTGAAACATCTACAGGTTTGTACCCAGGTTTCATTTTATTCAACCAAATTAATTTGTTGTTTAAAGCAAATTTGCAAGTTAATTGATAGGGTTAAAGATCATGTGTCTGGTTTTGAAAAAATCAGTAAGACATCAAGTATAGGTCGGACAATTTTTGACTGATGGCAAATTAAAGATCTATAGTGAACTCAGTGGGGGTATAGGGGAGAATTTGCCCCCTAGATAAATGGTTTGTACCCCCATCAGTTCTAGCAAATTTATAAATATGATTTTTATAGGTTAACTATAATAATAATTACCCCAGTTATGTATCAGAATGCACCAAATCAATTCTTTTTTTTTAAATGGTGGAGAACCATTTCAGACACTGCCACTTCAACAGAACTACCACAGTTGTTATCTGATGCCTAACAATTGAGTCAATTTGCCCCCTATTTTTACACACCACTGGTTGAACTACAATGTACATAAATCTAGTTTTCTGTTATCTATTTATACTAACATATTGTATTTCAGAAATTCCCTAAAGAAGGTTTAACAACAGTTGTAAAGAATGTGTTTGATTTTGATTCATATAATAAAGAAGTGAAAGAGTCTATAGTAGATACAATGAAGAAACATGGAATACCTCTCGGTGCCAGTGAGGCTTCAGTTAAACTAGCTAAAGAGTAAGAAAACAACTTTAGTTCAGAGAAACTGGAGCAGTACACAAGTTACCTCTCTATTGCTCTTTATGTTGATTATAATTTAACAGCCCGATGAAATGAAAATTGACATTCACAGAAAAAATTAAGATTTAATTTTTTATGTTGCTCAGCATCTTACTATTCTAATTTTAAAAGAAAAACAGAAAAAATCAAAATAATCCCTGTGTAAAAGCAAGAAGATGTGTCTATTAAAACTGATTTTATTAAATAATGTGAATTTATTGTTTATACTTTATAACTTATTGCTATTCATAATTTTTATATACAGTTCATCCATATATGACTCAGGGTTTTGTAAAATTGTAGACAATATTTATTCAATAAAAAGTTATAAAGACACATCTCTCTTCTCTTTTACTGGAATAATATTTCCAACTTTCATAACTGCTCAATGTGATGATAGTTAGTAATTGATTTGGAATGTCAAGCAAGAAATATTTCTGTTGAGCTTGACAAAATAGAAAACTTATTTCCTGATACACATTCAGATTTGAAATAGGTGGGAATTAAAATTTCATTCTTGATATCTATTTATAAAGTGGTAATTTGTGATATTTTTTGTAGAATACCATTACCACCGTTAGAATTACAGGGTAAATGGAATATAGCCAGTACAGGTTTACGTCAAAAAACAGCTTTACTCAGTTTACCAGTTGAAACACATAGAATATCTGTTAAGGTATAGTTATTTAGCAATGTCTTTAATACAAGTATGGAATGATACTAAAATAATGAGACCATTGAATATAAAGAAAAATGGACAATTTTTTCACCATAACCTAATATCCTTCACTGCAAATTCTCAAAACATTTTAATTCAACTAATGATCAAAAAACACTAAACATGTAAATTTTTGACTAAAAAAAATGGAAGGTACAACCCCAAGCCTCCTTGTTACTATACTAAACAGACTAAATATCCCCCATTGCACACTGTCTTCATTTACCTCATTATATGTAGACCAAAAGATAAAACTTCAAATTGATAAAGCTAGTGATCAAATAACACACATATTCATATTGGACAAAATCAATGGAAAGTACTGTTTCACCCTTCATGGTCATGTGATGAACACTATCAACTATAATTATAGGGTCCAGTACAGATGTATTTAGAAAATAAACTATTAGATAGAATAGAAGCTAGATCTAATGTATTCAGTGAACAAGAAGCCTATTGGAGTATACCAATGGAAGAGGTCAATATGATTTGTGATGTGGCTGTTTCTAAAGGTTTGTTTTTTTGGCTCGTGGTTACAAATTGAGGTAGTATCAAATAAAATCCAGATCAAATAGTAATGGGTTAATAAAAATGTTTATATTTCAGCTGGTTTACGTAGTCCAGGACGTAATAAACATGATGTGATATACTCTGTATCTGCTATAACTGTTTATATTTCAGCTGTTTTACGTAGTCCAGGACGTAATAAACATGATGTGATATATTCTGTATCTGCTATAACTGTTTATATTTCAGCTGGTTTACGTAGTCCAGGACGTATTAAACATGATGTGATATATTCTGTATCTGCTATAACTGTTTATATTTCAGCTGGTTTACGTAGTCCAGGACGTAATAAACATGATGTGATATATTCTGTATCTGCTATAACTGTTTATATTTCAGCTGGTTTACGTAGTCCAGGACGTAATAAACATGATGTGATATATTCTGTATCTGCTATAACTGTTTATATTTCAGCTGGTTTACGTAGTCCAGGACGTAATAAACATGATGTGATATATTCTGTATCTGCTATAACTGTTTATATTTCAGCTGGTTTACGTAGTCCAGGACGTAATAAACATGATGTGATATATTCTGTATCTGCTAATCCTATAACTGTTTATTCTATGGATTTAAAGAGTGGTAGTTTAAATAGTTTAGATCTGTATGATGTTTTCCCATCTACTGTGGGTACATATAAACCAAGAGTTAAATTAATGCCTCTATCAGCACCATTAGATGATTGTATTTTACTACATGAAGAAGTGGTAAATATGTTTATTTCTATTGATAACAGCTTAATTTCAATCCTTTGATTGTCTATTTAAGAAAATGACCTGGCCACATATTCTCGAAACGATCTTAGCTCTAGTATATCCTAGGTTCTTATCTTCTATTATTGATTCTTGGACATCCTAGTGCTAAGATCATTTCGAGAATACGGGGCCTGATCATTTAATTTGAATTCAGATATTTTAATTGTTATAAACTTCATTATTGTATATGAACAGTTATATTTGTGATGTGTTAATTAGATCCGAGACCTATTATTATTCTCCTGTAGTTCAGTAAAAATACATTTGATTAATTTCAGACTAATGTGATATTAAATGTAAATATGGAAATAGGTCAGATTACTAGAATATTATGTCCTGGTTTACCTGAAACTCCCATAGAAAAACGTAGATTTCCATCTTCAGCACCAAAACCAAGTGTAAGTATTAGTTCATATACAGATTGATAAATGTCCTCTTTCAATGTAAGTGTATATTTTTGTCAGTTATGTTGGTCCATTTCATTACTTTTTACACTTTTTAGCTGTTTGTGATGAAACTGTGTTAACTCTCAGAAACATTAATTTGTAATTTTCAAAAAATATTTTCTCTTATGACATAAAAATTCTTGGGTTTTTTAACTAATCTCAAGGCATATTATGTATTTATTAGATATTTCTATAATGCTTTTAGAATCAGTTTAAAATGTGTCATAGAACAGAAACAGATCATTTTGGTACAGTGGCTTTTTATAAACAAGATGGGTGAGTTCTATTTGTGATTCTTCTTTATTATATTATGTTGTAATTACTATATGTATAAGGATTTCAAATTATGGTTTGAGTTACATACCTAAAGGGTCAACAAATATTAGATACAAACCCAATACACCTAAGGTATATTTGCAGTGCTTTAACATAAGAGATGTTGTAGATGTTTAAGATTTGTAAAAAGCTTTAATGTACAAATCTTTGGTCACTCATGTATTTGTCTGTTAATGATTGTTAGGACATCATTGCTAATTTGAAGGCACAGTTTCTAATGCACCATGAGAAATGACCTAACTTTAATTTGGATGATAATAATCTAGAATGTAATGATAATTCGGTATGATTAATTACAGATCATCTATAGAAATAATTAATTTATTAGAAGGTATAACTCATACTATATCTTCACCTATCAATATATCATCAATGTTACCAGTATCACATACACAATGGTTGATAACAGAGGCTAAAACATCCAGGTAAGCCTATTTATTTTACCGATGGAAACCTTACCATATATTAAAGAAGAAGCACATTTCCAAAGCCAACTAAAGAAAATCAAATTATGATGTACATGTTTAAAACTTTATATTTATATATCAGCACTGCACTGATGAGACCCTGAAGGCCAAGACAGTACTGCTTCCATTATATAGTATTGTAGCTCAAAGCTTTGGTATTAAAAGTAAATATAACCAAATCACAAGAAAGAATATTAGGTTAATGTTATGAAATATGAATGTTAATTCCATTTTCAGTAAATATTTATTAGATAGAAGTAATATTGAGGAATTTACACTACGTCCTATTACTGAAGAAATAGGTAAGATTGTTTTCAAACAGGAATAATATCGTTATTATTTACGTTTGAAAGAAATTACTATTCTTTCTGAATATCAATTTATACTGTAAAAGGGGTATTTAATTGAACTAAGACTGAATTGCATTATTGATAAAGTTACATAATTTTTTGTTCTGAATTTTACCAATCACTAAATTCAATGGAAACCTGTGTAACTAGAGTTTTGGCAGCACTGGTCCGCAGATTAATTACTTTGCTTTGATATTCTCGATAAAAAAAAACTAAGAGAATTCACTATTTTTTGTGCTATAAAAAATCCTTATGAAATGATTAGTAAATTTACTATTTCAATGTATGTTTTATCTTTATTCAATACATTTTGGAGACATAAAGTACATAAAATACATATTTTCTTATTATCACATGTGTAAATTTTGATTAAACCTAGGTGAAGTGGAATCTAAGTTTAGCCTGATGTCAACCCTGCCTCTATCTAGTGGTATATTAAGTCAAGCTCTAAATGAGAATATCACTAGTCCTAATAGAGTATATTCTACACCGTACACCTACTCTACTATATTACTAGGATTCCCAGATTTGGTGAGCATTCTTTTTGTATAACTAATCAATAAAGATATTAAGACAGAAATTTGTATACCATATGACAAAAATAAAACTTTATAGTATCTACTTCAGGTCTACCAGATCTAATGTCCTTTTTTTTTCCCTTTTAACTGCCGTAAGTAAATCATGAATAACAATGTTGATTTTAAGCTGACCTTAGCTGAATTTCGACTTTTGTGTCATTTGCATTTTACTGTTATTTTCAGGCAACTTCTGAATTATATACCAGTTCTCGAGAACCATTACCTCAAAACAATACCTATTCACAAGCTGATCCTTTCTTTAAAGTAATAGCTAAACCTCCTGCACCAGATCCTAGATCAGGGGTAGCCTATTTACCAGAATCAGGTCAAATAATTCAAGCTCTACCGACCTGGAAAGTACCAAAAGATATTCTACCACAAGGAGATGGTATGTTGTTTGATTTCTTGTCATTATATATAGTTGCTAAAACTGATGACCATACAGCTTTTTGTTTAGATATAAGATATGGGTTAAACATTAACTTTTTGGACAGGACAAATTTGTTAAAATATTTCTCATTATGCAGTTTTTAGCTCAGCAAGTTACACTCTTGTTAGCTAACCTTGATGTCCAGTGTTTCACTTTATGTTATTGAGATAAAGCAGATGAATTATTTTTCATCTACATTAAAAATAAGGTTCATAATGGACTGTCTTTTTGTTAATAAGACATGTTGATATTTTGTAGAGAATAAAGCTCGAGATTTAAGTGGATATTTAGAAGTATGTGATTTAGCTCATCATAAATTACGATATGTACCCATACCAGGGTAAGTATAGCCTGATCCAGCTAACACAAATTATACAATATATCAAGATCTGAGATAGATGAATTGAAGAGTCAATCTGGACCCAATAATGCACACAACATGCTGAAATTATCTGAATTAATTTGCTATACAAAATAGATATAGCATCAAAAAAAATTAGAGATTTCCCAATTTTTTGAGCTATAGTTAGTCCTTTAAAGGATTTGCAAAACTTTCAGTAAAATCCTTATGAAATGATAATTAAGTTTACTATTTCAATGTTTATTCTCAATGGATGTATCCCATGGAAAACCTTTCTTTATTGCAGGACCTTACATGTCTCACCATATGCTTCTTGGTTATTTGATATGTCTGATGTGAATGTATTTATGGCACCATTAAGTAATGATGGACTAGTAACTATAGATATAGGTGGTTGTGTTAGACTGTGGGAAACATCAGTTGTTCATCTAGAAAGATCATTAAATGAATGGAGAAATATGATAGGAGTTGAGGATACTAGACCTTTACAGGTACAGCTATATAGAAAGTTAAATTATGTGTCAAACGTCACATCTGGAGAAGAAAAATTGCATTCTCAGATTTGACTGTAATCTTTACTAGGAAGAGCAGTTTATTGTTTTCATGAAAAGATCTATAGTTTTCACAGATAGAAACTTCATTCTTTAAATATCAAAACAAATGTTGAAAAAAGCTGATTTTTTAAATTTTTCATTGTCCTTATTTTAGCTAAATGTTGAGAGAGAAAGTGGACGTGATCATGAAGACATTGATCCTAAACATGGTAAAATAGATCCTTCTAATAATCCTCATGTAGGAGGAGGACAGTGGGCTGGTGGTGTAGGTAAGTAAATAGAAAATCAATAGTTTCATGAACAGAAATACCAATAAGTATAATAAACTTCTTGGATCTTTGAAATCAATGCAAAATAATTGTTGGATTCCAGGAAGCTTTGTATCTTCAATTTAGGAGAATTAGGAGCTAATTTATTTGTAGGTGGTAGTGGAACAGCAGGTTTAGGAGGGTTTGGTGGACCCTATAGATTAGATTCTGGTAATGAAGTTTATCAGGTACCACAATGGGAGAAAGATGCTGTACCAGAATCAGTAAGTTACTTGTGATTTTCTTATCCTTTATATAATGGCATATCTGAAATTATTTTTAATTTTTTGCAACATTTTGTGGATGTTTTATTTGCATATATTTGCATTAATAATGAACAATTCATTAATATTCAACTAATATTTTTAAGGTACGTAAAGCGGCCCATGAAATGGCTCAGAAGGCATTTAAAGAAAGGTACAGTGTATTTCATTTTATAGAAATTATGAACTGCAATTCCACCAACACTTATTCTAGCTTTCCAGGCTTTTCTGCCTGACTCATAGAATTACCATTCTGCAAATCTCAATAATGAAATAAAGAAGCCCCAACTGTTAATGTAGATTAACATTACAGAAAAAGAACACAGATGCCTTTAAGTTTCTATTTATTCATCAATGTCTCATTCAAACAGTGATGTTTCCGTTTTTTTTAATTTGATTGCAGATTAAGAGAAATAGAAATGAGTGAATTCGATGCAGATACTTACAATAAATTTTCTAGTAGTGTTAAGCGTCAAGTTCAGTCATTAAAAGTGATACTTGACAGTTTACAGGTAAGAGTAACTCTTCTAGAACACCTGATACCACTCTTAAATTGGGCATGTCAACCTAGCTTATCTAGTTCTCATCACTAGTCACTATGTCCAAGCCTCTAAAATATCTTTTTTAATGAGAAAATTTTAAATCTGATAACTTTAACCTCTATTTTTTAAAGAGCAGATTTTAAATCAGGTAACTCTATTGAACCTCTATTATTAGAGAGCATATTGGAAAGCTGATAACTCTATTGAACCTCTATTATTAGAGAGCAGATATGAAAGCTAATAGCTTTATTGAACAACTATTTTTAGAGAGCAGATGTATGATCTATTACCTCCATTGAGCCTCTTTTGTTAGAGAGCAGATTTTAAATCTGATAACCCTGTTGAACCTCTATTATTAGAGAGCAGGTTTTATATCTGAGAACTTTATTGAACCTCTATTATTAGAGAACAGATTTGAAAGCTGATAACTTTATTGAACCTCTATTGTTAGAGAGCATATTTGAAAGCTGATGATTTTATTGAACCTCTATTATTAGATAGCAGAAATTCAAGGTGATAGCTTTATTGAACCTCTATTTTTAGAGAGCAGATTTTAAGTCTGAGAACTTTATTGAACCTCTATTATTAGAAAACATGTTTCAAAGCTGATGATTTTATTGAACCTCTATTATTAGAGAGCAGATATTAAAATTTGTAACTTTATTAAACCTTTATTATTAGAGAGCAGATTTTAAATCTGAGATTTTTATTGAACCTCTATTATTAGAGAGCAAATATTAAAGTTGGTAACTATATTGAACCCTTATTATTAGAGAGCAAATTTTAAATCTGAGAACTTTATTGATCCTCTATTATTAGAGAGCCTATTTCAAAGCTGATGATTTTATTGAACCTCTATTATTAGAGAGCAGATTTAGATCTGAGAACTTTATTGAACCTCTATTATTAGAGAGCAGATGTTAAAGTTGGTAACTTTATTGAACCTTTATTATTAGAGAGCAGATTTTAAATCTGAGAACTTTATTGAACCTCTATTATTAGAGAGCAGATATTAAAGTTAATAACTATATTGAACCTCTATTATTAGAGAGCATATTTAAAAGCTGATGATTTTATTGAGGAGAATTTGAGCATAAATTCAAGGTGATAATTTTATTGAACCTCTATTTTTAGAGAGCAGAATTTAAATCTGATGATTTTATTCAGGAGATTTTTAATCTGATAACTTTACTGAACCTCTATTATTAAAGAGCATATTTTAAAGCTGATAACTCTATGAATCTATTCAATCATAATTATTAGAGAGCAGATGAGGAAGCTGGTAATTTTAAACTATTGAAAATTGATATATATTTTCAGGCTAAAGGTAAAGAGAGACAATGGTTAAAGAATCAGTCTTATGGTGATTTAGATGACTCTAAACTAATAGAAGGTTTAACGGGGGAGAAGTCTATTTATAAACGACGAGGAGAGAAGGAACCAGAGGTTAATATTACTGTTATACAATTGAACAATTACCTTATAATTTCAAATTAATTTTATATGTTTATATTTGTAGAATGCACACCCCTGCTTACCTTTGAGTAAATTGGAATATAGTTTTGTCACTATAAATAATTTACACCCTTTCCTGACAAAAATATCAACAACTTGGCAAAAACCATCATCAAGCCAGCTGGTTTAAAAAGGAAGATAGAGTTCCAAAGCTTGGTTGGGGCAATAAGAGATTTGATTTTGCGTTATGTGTGCTGGTAGATCGAACTATCAAGAAGTACTATTATGACACCTTTTTAAAGATTTATGTTAAGAAGTGAGGGCCTAAGAATGTTAAATTTGATTTGTGTTTGACTAATGATTAGATTATATATTTACACTCACAACTGATTTTAATTGAAAGTTTCCTTGTGAGTTTTGGTTAACCCAACCCCAGAGTTTTCTCAGCACACATCATGTTTGTAATGACTGTTTAATTTCTAGATGGGTACACCACAAGAATTACCAAAGAGATTACGGTTTGTAGTAGATGTGTCTGGTAGTATGTATAGATTTAATGGTCATGATGGAAGATTGGAACGAGAAATGGAAACAGCCTTGTTAGTCATGGAAGCTTTAGAAAACTATGAAGACAAAATCAAGGTATAAGGTTATTGGTGTAAATCAGAGCATCAATAAAAATATGAGACAATGTATATAAAATGATTCACTTTCATTTAGTCACAATTATTTTAAGCACAAGTCAGTTGGACTTAACTTGAGGCACATTCTTTTAAGACATTCTGTCAGTTAGGCACAGATTTGAACGATTTTTTTTTAGGCACAGAGAATAAGCCACCTTTTGGCACACGTTTTTATAGGTGCACTCCATAGAGTTATCATATTTGGCATAAAGTATTGTTTAAAACACATTTGGAACATAAAAGAGTGAGCCTAACTGACAGATGAAACTGAGTTTTTTATTGTTGAAATTAATTAATAACTTGTAATTACTGATATTACAGTATGAAATCTATGGTCACTCTGGTGAAGATTATAATATACCATTTGTTAAAGCTGATAAACCACCCAAAAACGAAAAACAGAGACTTGACGTATTAAAGGTAAGCTTAAAAAAAAACCTTCATTTTAAAAAGGCTATGAGTGACTTGTTCTAAAGCATACTGGATTTTTGATCCAGTCCATTCACTACAAGCATAACTAAATAGAGAAAAATGATTAACTTTGAAAATATTCTGGTATATATTATTTATTCATTTATCCAATTTATTCCAGATGATGCATGCCCATTCTCAGTTTTGTTTAAGTGGAGATCATACACTAGAAGCTACTAAGTTTGCTATAGAATCTATTGGCAAAGAAGAAGCAGATGAACATTTTGTGATAGTATTGAGTGATGCCAATTTTGATAGATATGGTATTAGACCTACCAGGTTTGCTGATATACTAACTGGAGATGAAAATGTTAATGCTTATGCTATATTTATTGGTTCATTAGGTGACCAGGCTATTAGGTTAGTTGATTACCAATTATATAGATGTTTTTTTCATAATATTGGGTTTTTATTACACTAAGGTTTGTTATTACTGTTGAGTTTATATCTAAGTAGGATAGTTGAGGGGACCCTTGAGCCGGCAATCCTCTTCAGCCAGAAACTGCCAGCTGTGCAGGGCCAATTTAAGTCAGTCGAAATTTGCCACTTTGTAATCATCACAAAACCCAGTTCAGTTAACCCACTATTAGTCTGTAGTCTGTAGATGCATTACTGAAAGCCCTTTTCTTAAATCCTTTGTATCACTAACTCACCACTCACTCCTGATGTTACCACAATTGTAAAAGAAGTAATTTTCAAAATGAGTTGTAACCACATTTATGGCTGATATCAAAGTTTGGTTAAATATCACTTTAGGGATTGATATTAAATTAACGGTCGCACAATTTACAAGGTTGTTATACAATTTTTTTGCTTTCTAACATGTGTATTCTTTGACAGTTTGAAAAAGTTTATAAAATTTTCAGCTATTTTTTTTTGAAATTATGATTATGAAAATTTTTTTTTTTTAGATTATCTAAACAGTTACCAATGGGTCACTCATTTGTTTGTATGGATACCAAGAATTTACCTCAAATATTACAACAGATATTTACATCAACTATGTTGTCTACCTGAAAGATAGAAATATGTTATAATGGTTATTTATTAGTATCTTGAAATATTGTCTATTTATCAGATAGATGCATAAAGCTAGCAAATCCATCCCAGAATAGATGGTAATGGTTCATTGAACTGATCATGAAAATACCGTACAGGTTCACTATTTTTGGGGGCTTGATTTGTCTCTTGAATATATGTAGAAAGTCTGCAGAAGTACAAGAAAATGTACAAAAATAACCATTTTCCTTCAAAAATACCTTAAACTAGGAATTTCTCTTTCTGTAGAGGTCTATTCTATATATGGCAGAGTCTCTAGAGAAGACGAGTCATCAGTTTATCTTTCAAACGCAGATAATTCCGGACACACATGAATTTGAAGGCTAAAATTTCAATGGTGAGCTGTGAATACTATTATTGGTAAGCTAAGCTGAGACTAAATGTGCGATTGGTCAAACGGATGGTGAACCTGTCCATTTAAACACATAATTACATATTTTTTTTCGTCGATAGACATTTACTATAAATCAGTTGTCTATATATTTATTTTATCAGGCATATCATGTGTATAAGAATTAGCTTTTGAAAAGTGTTATCCTTGCTTAGAAACCTCAGGGAATCCAAAAAAGTAAGGAATATTATGTGAATTTGTGATTTCTTATAGCCCTTGTTAGAGACTAAAATCAAATTATAATTTATGTACATTTCATTTTGATATACTATAATGTTTATGTAGAATAATATTTTGTATAATCATGTTAATTTATGAAGATTGTATAATATAAAATGTATAATAAATATCTAGAGATGTAATTTAAACTTATTGTATGATATCAGTCAAAATCCCTGACACCTCAGTTGATATATGGTCTTGGGTCATGGTCTCCACTTGTTGTTAAATGTCAAATGGATATGGTTGTCTTCATACCATCTGAAAGGGTTCATTTTCAGCAATCTGTATCAATTTATAGAATAAAAATCGGACATCCAGTTCCTCTACAATGAGACAAAAACATATCACTAAAGTTTTGTTAACACTGTTGTCACTCTGCAGCAGTAAACATTGCTAGACATTCTCAATGCAGTTTTTACATATGATGTTCTTAGAGCATCATGTATGTCAGAGCTTGGATAAAAGCCTAGAAGTGACAACTGGTATGTCTTTAATTGACATTGACATTTTATTCTGAAAAGAGCTACAGATAGTTGATATAGAGTTCTGCATGCAGACCTGTTATTTGATATTTTCATGAGTATATCACTTTAAGAAAAGAAGAGTTGTCTCAATGACACACATAAAACAACATCATCAGTAATCATATTGTAATCTATTCAAGGTCAAGACTTTATGTAGGTTAATACATGTATTTATCTCTATAAAAAGATATTGCTATTCTGAAGATATTCACTGGTATATATACTGTAGGCCCTACATTGATATGACTGTGCAATTTATAAAATGAAAGATAATTTTGAGTCCCTGATATGTTTTATAGACAGATGATCTTTCTATTAACCAAACTGTAAATATAAGATCATATGAAAATATGAGAATGAACAAATACATAAATAATTTACATATATATATTTTATCTTTTGTTTGCATTTTGCATATGTCAGATAACAACCACCAACTAGGGTTATATTTGTGTTTTTGTCCTGACTGTGAAAAGACAAGCTGTTGATAGACATAGTTGAAATTGTATACTGACTCTTTATTGTTTATATTTTTATTGGGTTTCAATTCATACATTTAATCAAATATCATCTAATTCTGAATATGAAGTTCTCTTAAAGGAACATTCAGCTTTTTCGTTGGTTCAAAAAAACACTTTGCCCAAATTTGTGAAAACTATACATGTGTCCCTTAATGTAACTTAATAGGCCTTTTATGCTTATTCTTAGTTTGTCCCTGTAATTTTAGTGTTGTAATTTAGTGCCAGTTTTCCAAACAACTGAAAAAAAAGATTCTTTTAGTACCTTAGATCTTACAATGCAAAACCCAAAGATGTTCTTAGAAAATATGATATGATCTTAGAGATATTTCTTTTATAATATCAATTGAGTTATCACAGAGGTAAGAGTAATCTTTCTAAATTGAGATTTGAACCTTCATCACCTTCTCATGGTCTTACCCTCAAAAGCACTGGATATGGCATCAGAAATCTTTCCAACAAGATTTTATCTTACCAAAAATCAAATATTATACTGACTAAGCTATCCCACTTGTAGTGGCACTGATCTATGTCAGTGAGCCATCCCACAACTAAAGATTTGGATAGAGTCTTTCAAGTGATAGATTAGTTAAATGAAAATTTCCCTTTTCAACTAGAACAAAATAAAAGATCTGTAAAGCAGGAGATAGTTCCTGCTATTGTAAAAAGCCAAAATTTATCTCAACTTAAAGCTTAAAAAGAGATAAAAAAAATTTCTATAAGATAATAAAATAAAAAAAAAAGTTTGCATGTCTTATAGTAGTATTTTTTATTGATAAAAGAAAGAAAGTCGGCTGTTTTATCTATTTACCCTCAAAATACCAATAGTGGACTGATCCATGTACAAACTTACTGCTTTTATAACTGAGCAGTTGTTAATAGAATACCATTACAGCTAGTTACATTCAACTCTTGAGATATTTCATCATCTTACTATAAACACAGTTAGTTTAACTTGACAAGGTAAGTTCTTTATACCTTTTATAATTTCTAATCTTCACATTAGTTATTGAAAATTTTGATTTTTTAATGAGATCTTTGCTCACAGTTAAAAAGGATTATCTTATACATGGTTTTTAAATAATAAGTAAGTGTTATAGAGAAATATTTTGTTTTGTTTTGGAATTAACAGGCAACTATAATGATGCTATTCAATATTTCAAAGTGGAGCAATTTACACTTCATAATCCATAGGCCTAATCAAAATTCTACTAAATGTCATGTAGAAATCTGATATTAAAGAATAATATATCTCAAATGAAACATACCAATTTCCACCTATAATATAAGGGTAGATGTAGGGATATATTAAATTGAGTTGTGAGCTATATAATATGAATGAAAATGCAACATTGGCTTATCTTATTTCAATAAGGATCTTACTTGTTAGTCAATGAGAACAATCTTCAGTGAATGTTTATTTAATATTTGTGTATTTTTCCTGAACAGCTATATAATGTCTAATGGTGATGTTAAAAAACTGGTAGTTCTAGCTTACAGTGGAGGTTTAGACACATCTTGTATTTTAGTGTGGCTGAAAGAACAAGGCTATGATGTTGTTGCATATCTGGTAAGTTTTGCAAGCACATCATTTACTTCACAATGTCAAGCTATTAGTACTTCAGAAAAGACAAATTTTTGTAGTAGATTGTTATTGTGAAGATGTATGAACCTGCATGTCGTGTGTATTGCTTATTTTTCAGTTTACAAGTCTATAAGCAGCCTCAATGTGCTGTGAAATTACACAAACTTTACATCACCTTTTTTTGCAATGAATATTCAAACCATATTTGTGAAACCTACAGCTGGTAATTTTATTATTATAATATTATTAATCAAATAAAGTAAATATATTATTTAGCTGTGAAATATAACATGACTTAATTTGAATTAGATTTAAACTTAATTACCTTGTAACTGAATATTAAAAATGCTGTAGATGCACATTTCCTTAAAAAACACTATATTATAGTTTTTAGACAATTTTGATATATGTCATATATCCAATAGTGAAAATGCTGTAGCTGTTTTAGTTTTCAACCAATTTCCATTGTATTTGATATATGTTGGTACTATTTAATCCAAATTTGATAGGGTATGAAGATTTATCAATTTAAATATTGACACAATATATGAAAAATGTTATAGCTTCTTTAATAATACAATATTTTTTGTGAAAATTTTTGGATAGCAAGGGAGTAAAAATGTTTCTAGATTAAGTTGTCAATAAGATCTTCAAGCAGTAATAAAGGTGATCATTAATTGTTTTGATTTATTAGATACAAGATAATTAAGAAACCACCATCTGTCCTATCTTCCTGTAATACCGCTAGTTCTGATTGATCATTCTCTTTATCAGTCATTTCTCATCTATTTATAACAGGCTAATATTGGTCAAGATGAAGACTTTGATGCTATTAAATCAAAAGCTTTGAAATTTGGTGCTTCCAAGGTAAGTTGAAATGTGTTTTACTATCAAGGTAGTCTACCATGTAATTTATGTAGGTGTTCGATTATATAGTCAGTGAGCATTGAAATGTGCACCTCTTTTATATCTCCTGAAAATCTGGTAATGCCAAGTTCATTTTGATAAAGAAAACAACCTTTATTTGAAGTGCTCATTTTTTACTCTGGATAACCTTGGCTATTATTTGTGGATATCTGGTAAAATTTTCTGGTAATTTTTCTCTTAAATTTCTCTAGGAATTATGTGCACTTTTGATGAAAAAATTACCTATAGCAAAGTTAGGTTAGTTGTTTATTTTTGAATGTAGACATATACTGGGCATAGTACAAAACATGAAAGTTTAGGTATATATTTTTCCAAAGCAAAGGGGAAAGTTATTACCTGGATATCTTTGATTTTAATCGTAAATCCATATCTAAAAACACATTTGAGCACCCATATTTGGAAATTCTTTTGAGCTTTTGATTTTGTGACAAGTCTTAAACAATGTTAGAAAAACATAATAATCCCTTTAAAGTACAATATTACCAGACTGGAATCATAAACAAGGCCAATAAGTTCTGAAACAAGCCATGAATACATGATATTCTCTGAGATATGAGAATGTCTTTTGTAAATGACTATTTACTATTCCATTATACTCCTCTATTATGTTTCCTTGATTTTCTTAGATTATATTTATTCTCTTGTCATATATTAATTAGGCTTTATTAATGATATTGACTTACTTTGATAGCCTGTAAATCAATAATACTAGTCCTTTAAAGGAGTTAGTTCTTGTGATATGTATACTTTATGATTGCACGACAATATTCCAAAGACATTAAAACTGAAAAAAAGATAATTGATTTTGAACAATTTTAAAACTTTATTGATTTTGGTTATCCATTTAAACAAAAAACACAACTTTATCTGGTTATATTTTTAAAATTATGATGCTGATAAAGCTATGTAGGTTTTTGATGCCATGGGCTCACTGAATTTACAAACAAATTAGTCACATCTTAGCAGACAGTGCTTCTTTAAACTTGTAAGAAATTGGTAAGTACCTAGTAGTAATAACTAAACAGTAAGAATATTGAATGGTAACATCTTGTTTTTATTGATTGATTCGGAAGTTGATCTAATTTGGTCTTGATTAAATTATACTGGCAGTTCAAGACTATAACCTTTTCATGTTCTTAATCATAATAGAACTTCCTACTGAACATGTTTCACTTCTAATTTTAATCATTATCTCTCTCAACTTTTTCTAAAGACTTCATCAAATTGGTTCCAGGAAATATTTGTCTGTAATTTAAAAAAAAAAACTTTGTTCAAACTACGTCACTCCTGTATAAAACATGTCACTGAGTTAATAGATTCGATACTTGTAGAGTACTCACTCTTCAAGATCTGTGTTATAATTTGTTTTTGGAGGTTTTTGTTATTGCTAAATTCAGTGAATTCTAATCTTGCTCTTCCATCACTTACAAAAACAGTGGTGCTCAGATTCAAGGGTAGCTTGTTTTCAGTGATTGTTTTTTTCTTTTTGGACCCGCAATTAACCATAAAAATGTTTTTAAGTATAAATGGTTAGAAATTTCAACTTCCAGATAACCAGACTATCCATTGTAGAAACTGAGAAGGTTTTTAAATTCTTAATAAGATAATCTGACCAGATGTTTTATATTTATAATTGTGTTATATTAATACTATAAACAGTCTGAGAGTAGATAACAGATAAAAAACAATGGACTGCCCGACTATTTATTGTCACTTAAACTTCAGCAATATTCTATAGATAAGGGATTTAAGCAAATAAAAGAACGGAAAAAGCTATCCATTGAAATCTGTCTCTCACAATTAGCAAATATTGCAAATCTATAACAATTGACTTGTTTATTATGTTATATTGATATTTAAAAGATGTGATATATTCATCAGTTCCAAAGTTTTTGTTTGTACTTACGTTTTCATGTATCTTAAAATCAGGTTAAAAGAGAACCAATTCTTATCAGAAAATAGCTTTATTACAATATTACATACTTCGGTATATTAGATGCACAAGTCTGTCCAATGTTGAACTGTATTAAGAGATTTAAAGAAGATTGATAGCATCAATTTACACCACTCCAATTTTCAAACATCAGTGCATGTTGAAATTCCATAAAAACTAAGCGTTTTTCTTTTAATGTCAACACTATCACAACAATTGGTTTTAAAAGCCAAGAAAACTATTTTACAATCTCTCTAAAACAGGCTATTGTTTCAGATGATCATACCAGATTTAAAGAAGGAGTTTGTAGAAGAGTTTATATGGCCAGCAGTTCAAGCTAATGCTCAATATGAAGATAGATATTTACTTGGTACTGCCCTAGCTAGACCTCTAATTGCCAAGTGAGTCTTAATCAACTTTATATATATATCACTGTATCAATTAAATTGGTAAGTACAGTGGTTAAAATATAAAATGAACCGATGAAATGTGATCAACCTATATTATTCACTAATACACCTACTGTGTGAAGAAAGTTTTTTCTCATACAATACTTTCCTATTGTAATTTGACAACATTTTCAAACCTGTTGTAATAATTAGTATGTTATAATTAGTATGTTATAATTAGCAGGGCCTATGTTATAATTAGTATGTTATGATTAACAGGGCCTATGTTATAATTAGTATGTTATGATTAACAGGGCCTATGTTATAATTAGTATGTTATAATTAGCAGGGCCTATGTTATAATTAGTATGTTATGATTAACAGGGCCTATGTTATAATTAGTATGTTATAATTAGCAGGGCCTATGTTATAATTAGTATGTTATGATTAACAGGGCCTATGTTATAATTAGTATGTTATAATTAGCAGGGCCTATGTTATAATTAGTATGTTATAATTAGCAGGGCCTATGTTATAATTAGTATGTTATAATTAGCAGGGCCTATGTTATAATTAGTATGTTATAATTAGCAGGGCCTATGTTATAATTAGTGTGCTATATTTAGTATGTTATAATTAGTATAATATAATTAGTATGTTATAATTAGTATGTTATAATTAGTATGTTATAATTAGTATGCTATACATGTAATTAGTAGGGTCTATGTAAAATATTATGTTATATTTGTACAGCACAAGATGTCAATTGATATAGAATTCTAGTAATCAATACGAACATCCATTCAAAATAGAATAGCAAATTTTATGCTGGTATTTTTTGTTTTCTGTCACAAAAGAGATATTTCTATATTTTTAATACAATAGAATTATATTGATGAAATTATTTTAAATATTCAAAATCATTAGATAATATAGAAAATTTAAACAATGAGAGTCTTATACATTAGTTATTTTAATACACAAAGCTTGAATGAATTTTATACTGTGAGAGTGTACATACTATATAATGCAAATATAGTGTGTATATATAATGCACACCTCTCTCTTACCCTTGAATGAATCTGGAAATATCTCTGTCAGCATAAATAATGTGCACCCACCATGATGAAGAAAACAACAAGTACTAATCATTTACTTGTTATATATAGGGAGATGATCAAGGTAGCTAAACAAGAAGGAGCTAACTATGTAGCTCATGGTGCCACTGGTAAAGGCAATGATCAGATTAGGTTTGAATTAGGAGCTTATGGTCTGCATCCTACTATACAGGTTAGAATTCTTATTGATCAAATGTACCTAGCTGGTTAGATTCTTCCCTTGTAAATCTGAGTAGATGAAGCTATAGTTTTAGAAAATGACATGATAAAAAAAAACTGGTTTTCAACAAAGTTTCTTCTTAGAACATAGATAAATAAAAAATAAACTTCATCAGCCAAATAAGAAGCTATAAAATAGGATGTTAAACTGGATGAATTTTTTGTTTTTTGTTTTGATGTTGATATTTTTGTTATATTTGTAGGTTATAACTCCATGGAGGATACCAAGACTGCTCGAAATTTTCTGTCCACAATTTTGGCATAACTCTTTTAACAATACATTTTTAAAACTAGCAGGCTGTCTATGTAGAAAGCTGAAATATTTGACTAAATAGTTACGAATTGATATAATGTTTATGTATTATAATGTATTATAGAAACATAACATACCACTACCAGTAACAAAATCTAAACCATGGAGTATGGATGCTAATATGATGCACATTAGGTAAACTATGAATAAATTGTCTATATATATTCTTCCCCAAATTTCAGCTATCTTTATCATATTTTTGTGTTTTAAAACCGGTTTTCCTACTTTTCAACAAAAATATACCCTGTCTATAATGATATAGCCATGGTGTTCTTCACAGAAATTTTCTACAAAAGCTACAATGTAATTCAAACAATTTCAGACAAACTCAGTTGTTTCTTGTTTTAATCTTAATGGTATTAAATTGTAGCTATGAATCTGGAGTATTAGAGGATCCTAATCACCAGTCACCAGATGACATCTGTACTATGATAGTATCACCAGAATTGGCACCAGACTCACCAGAAATACTGGTATTAGAATTTAAACGTGGTCTGTCTTTTAATTCCTTAACTTAGTTTATATATCAGGATATCTCCTCCTTTATGATCTGGTCCTTTCTTCTCAGAAGCAGCCAGTTTTATTGATAATAAGACATTTATTATTAAGTATGTCAACTGAACTAAAATTTGATGGAAATGAGTTGATTTGAGAAAATGTGGGTTCTGAGACACTCCAGTTTTTTAAGATAAAGTAGCTATCTTATTCTGCCAACACATCCTTTGAATGTCAATTTTTTAATATTAAACTGCTAAAACCATCAGTTTTAATTATCAGGTTTTGTACTGTTACACTTTCCATATGAAGTTATCTATTTGAAGAAAGAATTAAAGATTTTTATGGCCATTTTATTGTTTATTTAGGTGTTCCAGTAAAAGTAACCAACAAAACTGATGGAACAGAATTGACCAAACCTCTAGATCTGTTTTTATACCTCAATAAAGTTGGGTAAGAATTTGATAGACAAGACACACCTTTAGATAACATGCAGATACATGCACATAATTCAGGAACACCTCATACCACTCTGTTTGTCTCTTACAGATATGTCAGATAGCTAATGATATTTATTATGTTATTTTATTATAATATTATTGATGTATGTTATGTTCCAATCTGATTTGTTTTATATTTACCAGTGGAAGGAATGGTGTTGGTAAAATAGATATTGTAGAAAATAGATTTATAGGAATGAAATCTCGAGGTATTTGTTCTACTTTGTTTTAAATTGTATAATCTTGTACAAAGCAGCATAGTGAATTCAATATTATAATCACTCTAAATATCCAATGTGCTATTAATTCCATACTTTCATGGAGGTTTGTCAAAAGTCTACTTATACTGGAAATCAGATAATGATAATGATTTTGATATGTTTGATTTCAGGTATTTATGAAACACCTGGTGGAACTATACTTTTGGCAGCTCATACTGATATAGAGGTCTTCACAATGGATAGGGTCAGTTTTGACTTTATGACAAATATATTAGCCTACAATTCTATCAATGCTTGTTGAGATAAAAAAAAAGTTACTGTTAATTCAGTCTTTACCAAACATTTTTTTAGGATGCCTTTGGTCGGAGTCAAAGTATATTAGATAATTAAATATAGTAAATTTGTATAGACATTTATTTAGTATTGTGGTGTTTTGAGACATATTATTTATTATGTGAAAATTGGAATATTAGTATGATTACTCAGTGGGTTCATAGTTAGTGTGAATATATTTTATCTATCTGTTACAGGAAGTCAGGAAAATTAAGAGAGAACTAGATATTAAATTTTCAGAGCAAGTTTACAGAGGTAGGAAACTTTATACAAGTCAACAGAATCAACCACCCAATTGTGTTTTATTTTTTTTTTTAAACATGACAGCTTCTTTGACTTGTTTCCAACACCTTCCTTATATTGTTATAAATAAATATTATGTTAAAATGGTGTATTACAATTCCATTTATCTGTTGTAGGTTTTTGGTTTAGCCCTGAATGTGAATTTACTAGATTCTGTATAAATAAAAGTCAGGATTCAGTTGAAGGAAAAGTTACTGTTAAGGTTTATAAAGGCGGTGTTTATATACTATCTAGAGAGTCACCATTATCTCTGTATAATGAACAGTTAGTCAGGTAATTATACTAGTGTTTATATACTATCTAGAGAGTCACCATTATCTCTGTACAATTAACAGTTAGTCAGGTAATTATAGTAGTGTTTATATACTATCTAGAGAGTCACCATTATCTCTCTATAATGAACAGTTAGTCAGGTAATTATACTAGTGTTTATATACTATCTAGAGAGTCACCATTATCTCTCTAAAATGAACAGTTAGTCAGGTAAGTATACTAGTGTTTATATACTATCTAGAGAGTCACCATTATCTCTCTAAAATGAACAGTTAGTCAGGTAATTATAGTAGTGTTTATATACTAGCTAGAGTCACCATTATCTCTCTATAATAAACAGTTAGTCAGGTAATTATAGTAGGGTTCTTATACTATCTAGAGAGTCACCATTATCTCTGTATAATGAACAGTTAGTCAGGTAATTATAGTAGTGTTTATATACTAGCTAGAGTCACCATTATCTCTGTATGATAAACAGTTAGTCAGGTAATTATAGTAGTGTTTATATACTAGCTAGAGACACCATTATCTCTGTATGATAAACAGTTAGTCAGGTAATTATAGTAGTGTTTATATACTAGCTAGAGTCACCATTATCTCTGTATGATAAACAGTTAGTCAGGTAATTATAGTAGTGTTTATATACTATCTAGAGTCACCATTATCTCTGTATGATAAACAGTTAATCAGGTAATTATAATAGTGTTTATATATTAGCTAGAGAGTCACCATATCTCTCAATAATAATAGTTTTACAATTATACAAGTGTTTAAACGGCTACAGGTAGCTAACAGTGAGAAAACGAACTATGTCATCTAGGCCAATCTAGGTGCAATAAGGCTTCTATCTTAACAAAATTATATTTTTGAAGGAGTCTTTCATTGATGTTAATGATTTTGATTTTCAGTATGAATGTTCAAGGTAATTATGAACCTACTGATGCTGATGGATTCATTAAGATTAATGCACTGAGGTAAGCACCAATTAAATATTATATTGTCGGTAGATTGCAATGAAGTTAATAAATAAATCAAGCTCAATAATATTTGTATATTTGTGTGTTGCTTATGAAAAGGTATGGTTACTCCGTTCAGAATACTAGAAATCCCTGTTCTCAAGGTTACACTCCTAGGTGGGCGATTGTAATTCATAGTTTTCATCATGGATATATATGTATCAATATTATCATATGATGTAATTTAACTTTTAAAATGATTTTGTTTATACAGGTTAAGAGAATATGGTCGACTAAGACAACAACCAACTGGTAAATAGGAGGCTGATATTGTTTGTTATGGTTTCATTGGTTAGATAGAATTGTTAATGTTAATATGATGTTGTGTTATGCTGTTTAAAAGTGCTATTTATTGACATAGTTTGTTTTTTGTTTTTTTTTGTCACATAATGATATGACATCCATAGCCTGCTATAGCACATAACAGGAACTGGGTTGGGACAGATTTGTCAGGCTAGCTTCTGTGTAATAACAGTTTTACTAAGAGGTATTGATCACCTACTTTGCTTTGGGATGATGGTCCGTGTTTATGTCTAGATGTGCATGTGTCTAGATGTGCATGTGTCTAGATGTGCATGTGCATCTATCATTGACTTAAACTGAGATGTCTGTTATGTTTTTAATTATAATTCAGTGTAAAAATTGTATTTGGCATTAATGAATAAACATCATTCCAAAACTCCCAATCTTTTGACTACTTTAAATTAATCTATGCTCCTGATTATACTAATGAAGAAGGTCACATGAATGACTTTACACTTTTCCATGTTCATGCCTCAAACTTTCAAATACACGTAGTGGGCAAAGCATCTAACTCCCAAAACCACTATTTCGAGAAGATGTTTTATTACAAATGTATATATCTATATATATCAGTATACATTATAAACAATAGAATAAAGATAACAGATCATCAAAACAAATAATAACAGACATCATTTAATAACAATAACAAGTATTCCTCTTATGTAAAGAAAAAGCTTTATATAAAAACAAACAAATTATTGTATAATTTGTAAAATCAATCTTAAATAAAATGTCACCGCAACAGATTGAGATCTATTATAAAAAATAATTCATAAAATTATAATTGTACCCAAAGAGGAATACTCCTGAATCTTTAGTATACTTAACATACCAAAACTTGACTATTAAATTAGATATATCTTTCGAAGCTACAAGGCTGGCAAGTACAGACAAATAAAAATAAACTTCTTCATTTCAATGCTACAAACATAGTGACTATGTTCTGTTTTTAAATTTAAAGAAAGCTTATCATGTTCTGTTATGAATCTAAAAGAAAATTGAACATGATGTGCTGTTATGAATTCAAAAGAAAATTGAACATGATGTTCTGATATGAATTTAAAAGAAAATTGAACAGAACGCTCTGTTATTAATTTAAAAGAAAATAGAACATCATGTTCTGTTATGAATTTAAAAGAAAATAGAACAGAATGCTCTGTTATTAATTTAAAATAAAATTGAACATGATGCTCTGTTATGAATTTAAAAGAAAATAGAACATCATGTTCTGTTATGAATTTAAAAGAAAATAGAACAGAATGCTCTGTTATTAATTTAAAATAAAATTGAACATAATGTTCTGTTATGAATTTAAAAGAAAATTGAATATCATGTTTTGTTATGAATTTAAAAGAAAATAGAACATGATGTTCTGTTATGAATTTAAAAGAAAATAGAACATGATGTTCTGTTATGAATCTAAAAGAAAATAGAACATGATATTCTGTTATGAATTTAAAAGAAAATAGAACATGATGTTCTGTTATGAATCTAAAAGAAAATAGAACATGATGTTCTGTTATGAATCTAAAAGAAAATAGAACATGATGTTTTGTTATGAATCTAAAAGAAAATAGAACATGATGTTCTGTTATGAATTTAAAAGAAAATAGAACATGATGTTCTGTTATGAATCTAAAAGAAAAAAGAACATCATGTTCTGTTATGAATTTAAAAGAAAATAGAACATGATGTTCTGTTATGAATCTAAAAGAAAATTGAACATGATGTTCTGTTATGAATTTAAAAGAAAATTGAACATGATGTTCTGTTATGAATTTAAAAGAAAATAGAACATCATGTTTTGTTATGAATCTAAAAGAAAATTGAACATGATGTTCTGTTATGAATTTAAAAGAAAATTGAACATGATGTGCTGTTATGAATTTAAAAGAAAATAGAACATGATGTTCTGTTATGAATTTAAAAGAAAATTGAATATCATGTTTTGTTATGAATTTAAAAGAAAATAGAACATGATGTTCTGTTATGAATTTAAAAGAAAATAGAACATCATGTTCTGTTATGAATTTAAAAGAAAATAGAACATCATGTTCTGTTATGAATTTGAAAAAAAATAGAACCTGATGTTCTGTTATGAACCTACAAGAAAATTGTACAATTGTTATGAGCTATGTTTTAGATTTTTATTTTTGAATATAAAACAAAATTCCACTGTAATTATATGTATACCATGTTCTCTTTTCCCTATTTAAAAGAAAATTGTTCACAGTTTTGATTTTTTACCCAAGGACATTTCTAAATTGGTAGATAAATGTACTTGATTCAGGTTGACTGATCATCTTGTTCTGTAGCCTCTCTTCGATATGAGACAGGATAATGTGATTCTCTCCATAAATATAATCCAGCTACTAATGGTAGCCCCAATCCTATCACTGTTTGATCAGATAATAGGTTTTCTTGATCTCCTAAACTATATTTAATATATATTGTTACTTCTAAGTTTTCCTGCAATGATATCAATAATTTGTTAATTATCATAATAAATGGATTTGAAAATGTATCGAACGCAAGGGCAATAACCATAAATATTAATAATAAAGCTACTTTTTTATTTCAATAGGGTTCATCTATGAGCCATAATAAATTCACCAAGTTTCATTTGAAATTCACATATGGAAAAGTACCCAGTGGTACAATATGCTTACTTCCTTTGAAGCAAGAAAATGATCAATATCAATCAATGTAATGAATTGTTCTGAGTTGTAGTATATTTTATTTCTACAAGTTCTGTAGGTATTGTTGTGAGTATGCTCTAGAAATATGATTGGTCAATTTCAACGATGCAATACTACCTGGATTATAGGACTGAAATTGATGTAGAAAAAATATACTACCTTGAGTTTCTGTATATCTTGTAAAGTATTTATGGTTTTAGAGTATTTGTCATCATCTGATAGTCTAGTAGGTGTTCCTTTCATCGTAGAGATTGTCTAATATACAAGACAAGGAATAAAAGAATAAATAAATCAATATTAATGGTTATAGTCCAAAACTTTATAAGACCAGTTGAGAAATCTACCAATGCCAGAAAAAATGAGTTATAAAACTTGAATAAGCCAGTCAATAACAAGGTCACACTCAAGACATTTGGTCTATTTGCTAAATGAAGTTTGTAAATCAAAACATTTTTATGGTATACTTACATTAGGATGTCTTCCAATCCAAGCTAAACATTTTTTTGTTTTACCTGGATTAGCAACTTTAACAAATATTGTTAAAACATTGGCAAAGTCTCTTTGGAAGGTCAACTCCAAGACTATTCCTAATTCTTTAGGTAAAGCATTTAACATAATATCTTGGCCGGTTTCTGGAAATATAGAAAGATATGCATAAAGAAAGGTTTCAGTGCATAAGTAATTGGGCATATGGGTAGAGGTTTTAAAAAAAAAAAAAGAAATACTGCTGTTAATATTTTGTGAGAGGTACTTCAAAGCAGTCATATTCGACTTGAAATAATTACTATTTGAAAATATTTTTTGCTGAACTATACTATATTTGTCTAACTCAGTTAAAATATGGTTAATATTGAAACATACCTAGACATTTCTCCCAAGCTAGTTGTCTAGATGTATATGACTGTGTATGTCCTGTATATTCTATTTTATCAGAAAATGAGCGTCCTGGTTGATTTAAATTACTCTTCATCTCTGGATTCTGGATTTTATTAGAAGGCAATATATTCTTACCAAATTCTACAATAGATAATTATTAGGTTATATATTCTTATCAAATTCTACCATAGATAATTATTAGGTTATATATTCTTATCAAATTCTACAATAGTTAATTATTAGGTTATATATTCTTACCAAATTCTACAATAGATAATTATTAGGTTATATATTCTTACCAAATTCTACAATAGATAATTATTAGGTTATATATTCTTACCAAATTCTACAATAGATAATTATTAGGTTATATATTCTTACCAAATTCTACAATAGATAATTATTAGGTTATATATTCTTATCAAATTCTACAATAGATAATTATTAGGTTATATATTCTTACCAAATTCTACAATAGATAATTATTAGGTTATATATTCTTATCAAATTCTACCATAGATAATTATTAGGTTATATATTCTTATCAAATTCTACAATAGATAATTATTAGGTTATATATTCTTATCAAATTCTACAATAGATAATTATTAGGTTATATATTCTTATCAAATTCTACAATAGATAATTATTAGGTAATATATTCTTATCAAATTCTACAATAGATAATTATTAGGTTATATATTCTTATCAAATTCTACAATAGTTAATTATTAGGTTATATATTCTTATCAAATTCTACAATAGATAATTATTAGGTTATATATTCTTATCAAATTCTACAATAGATAATTATTAGGTTATATATTCTTATCAAATTCTACCATAGATAATTATTAGGTTATATATTCTTATCAAATTCTACAATAGATAATTATTATGTTATATAGATAATTATTAGGTTATATAGATAATTATTATGTTATATATTCTTATCAAATTCTACAATAGATAATTATTAGGTTATATATTTTTATCAAATTCTACAATAGTTAATTATTATGTTATATATTCTTATCAAATTCTGCAATAGATAATTATTATGTTATATATTCTTATCAAATTCTACAATAGTTAATTATTATGTTATATAGATAATTATTAGGTTATATAGATAATTATTAGGTTATATAGATAATTATTATGTTATATACTATTATCAAATGTAATCTATGCTATACCTTCTCTAACTTTAGCTATAACACCTTCTATACTCAATCTAGTTGGTAGATAAAGCTGTAATGATTTCACCAATAAACCATGGTTACTATTCTCATACGCTTGGTTACCTTCACTCCTATAATATTTCAAATATACTACCATCAATCTACTGGTATACTAAATCATTTATGAAATGTAACCTGTGAGCTATTACCACTTCAGGTTAAATGTCAAGGAAATTTGGCTTGCTTCTTTTCATCGACTTTGCAGTTTCAAACAGACATAACTGAAATTATCAAAACTTTTTAGCCGTCCTTGTTTTCTACCTGCCAGCCTGGAATATTAGTGAATATCTATTTTCCTTTTATATGGCAGAGTAATATCAGAAAGTACAGTAATGTTATGGCCAGTTTAGGCAAAGACTCTGTAAATTATTAACTAAACTTGAATGTTATAGGACAATGTTATTATACTTACGTAGCATAAAGAAATATTGTATTAGCTGCTGTAACAACCTCTTTTTCTTCTAAATCATTGGCCACATCTGGACTGGTTACTTTATTACTAAATATATCAAATCAGGGAGTATTAGAAATAAGAGAAATTGAAAGGTAGCAAGTTAACACCCAAATTAAGGCACTGGCACACTGTAAAATCAGTGTTTACTCATGTGTGGGCTACTATGAATGAAAAATAATTCACCCTCACTGCATAATGTGTTGAGGCTTTTGTCTTTAATTGTTAAGAAATGATTTATTAGATCATCATGTTTTGATGGTAGTAATCGATAAATAATTTTAAATTTTTATCACTATCGGAAAGCTTAGGAACTTACGGTGTTCGACAGACGTCTAAAATTAGACAAGATACTTGTGGCTGTTGTCTTTGCATTCGACTCAACACATATTCCGAGGGTAGACAATCTTTTGTTAAATAACCAGTCGGAGCATCCTGGGGTACAAGATAAATTTCCTTTTTTTCTTCAAATCCATGGCCACAAAAATAAAACACGCCATAAACTCCAACACCCAATAATGCACAAAAGTGTTCCACTGCATTCTTCATTTCCGTTAAAGTTAAATTTAAAAGTGGCACCACTTTAAAGTTTAAAGAAGTAAATATTTCTGAGAGATTTTGAATATCAGGCATTGGTGCCTTCAAAGCATCTTCACATCTGTAGTCATAGTTACCAATTAACAGGGCTACTTTATCAACAGCTAAAACAGATACATCACAGTGTTAACTATATAATTGTGAAAATAATGTGCACCCTTTCTTACTCTCAAGGTAAAAAGGGAAAAATCTCATTGTTAATCATAATCCAACTCATTAACAGAATCAATGCTGCTTATGATTAATCAGTATGCTCTAAACTTGAAAGTCTAACTATTAGAAAAATAAACCTCAAATTCCTATCCAATTATCTTGAAGATGGAGTTGCATCACATACCACCAACAATATATTATCAACAGCAGTTTATTGGAATCATGATACATAAGAGTTCCAGGAAGACAGGTTAGCATTTGGTAAATCAAGTAAGTCCAGTGTAATACTACCACTACTGGACTATCTTTACAATTCCTTTAAAGTAAGATTCTAACTAATGTTTTTTCTAACAGATGTTAATGTTTTTTCACCTCTACTATGATCAATAAATTTATTATTTATTAATTCATTGATCGTTTAAGTTTATTTTTGGTGCATATGATTGCAGAAAATTCTCTTTTAATATTGTTCTCACCTGTGTAAACCTGAAGTGGTGCTTGAATTCTATCAGTGACTTGTAAGACAGCTCCCTGTGATAGTTTAAAACCAATAGAATTGGATACCAAACACTGATATACACCTAGATTATCTTGGTTAATATCTCTTAGTTTAAATTCACTTTTATTACTATCTACAATACATAAATATTGATATTTAAAATAATATTTTTCCACCAATATTAACAAGTATTCAATTTACCATGTAAACATATAACAGAAAGATTTAAAGAAGTTTACTAGCTTTATAAATGCATAATCAACATTTCATCATTCTTACTAGCGTAGCCAGAAAAGGATTATATTCAACCCTTGCAAAATGGTAGATATTTTAGAGAGAAAAACAGTGTTTTTTTTCTTAATTCAACTTAACAATGTATTTTCCGTAGATGTTCTTGATGTTCGAAAGGATTCTTTTTTTTTATTATGGAAACTTGTGAGGGTATGTCATTCAATTTTGCATCTTCAAACCATTCCATATTGAACAGAAAATTGTATAACATACCTTGTAATGGCTCTCCATTTTTAGTCCATTTATAACATAATGGTTGTGACCCAGTGGCTTCACAACAAAATATAGCTACTCCTCCAATTTCCACACATAATGATGTGGGATGTTTCACAATCTCTGGACGTCCTGAAAAATTCAACATATAATATTCAGTTCTCGACAACATGATGTCCAAAATGACCCTGACAAAATATTCTGGCTGTTATGTTATGTATATGTTCATGTCAATGTCTAAATGCATATATATAACTTAATTAATCCAGCAATTCAGGGCAGTTGATACAGCTGAATTTGCCAGTCATGCCTGATTTATCTAAAATGATTTAACTTTGGTGGTAATAAAAATATATGAACCATTTTTCTATGTTTTGATATTACATAATCAAACGCAAAAATAAAAAATACTTACGAGCTATACTTGGATAATTTCCACCTAAAATAGATAATATGACAAGCGTTAATAATATTACAATAACAGTAAGTGTTTTATTTAATCTTCCAAGATTTTATTGCTCATATAAATCATTAAAAATATGGATATCCCACACTGCTCTTCAAAAAAAAGCTTACTGGTAGTTTCTATTTATCTTAATTCAAATATAACAAAAGAATATACTGTAAATTCCTTATAATTCATTTAACTTTCTCTAAACTATGGTATTAGGTCCTTACCACTTTCAACAACAATTCTGGCTATGTTACTTTTTGATGTACCATAACTGTTTTGAACAACACAGTGATACAGTCCACTCAGATAATCTGTTGTATTGTCTACCTACAACATACAAAGATAATCCTTCTCTTTTTCCACTCTTCTAGAACTTTATTTCCCTAGAAATTCTGATAGAATGTAGTGCTGCCATGACACTTATTGGAAATAAATTATAAATTCCTGTATAGGCCAAGTATTCTCGAAACGATCTTAGCGCTAGGACATCCTAGAAAGAGTGTTAGAAGTAAAGATCCTAGGATATACTAAATACAGTGTTAGAAGTTAAGATCCTAGGATATACTAGAAATAGTGTTAGAAGTTAAGATCCTAGGACATTCTATTACTAAGATGGTTTTGAGAATAGGTTGACTGGTATTTATCATGATATTGGCATATCACCCAGCCCTAACCAAGAAAGAAACTATATATTATCACAAAATATCAAGGGTTGCTAAATATATAGATCTTAACAGATGATTGATAAGATAGATACCTGTATAGAAGTATTGGGTGTCTCAGTATAAAACTCATCATTATGAAACCATTGATAAAGTAATGGATGATCACCACTAGCCTCACACTCTAATAAAAACGTATCTCCCAGATACACACTTTTACTCAATGGATGTCTGTTGATGACAGGGAAATGTGACGGAACAGATTTAAAATCTGAAACAGAAAGATATCTTCCATTTAATATTTCCAAGTATTTTAAACTCAATCACTCAGCATGTTGTTTTGTTTTTGATACCCATCTTCACAATGTTAAGGTATAAGATAAAAAATGATGAATGCTGAATCATAGATATCTTTAATAGAACTACATTCTTTTTATTAGTGTTCAACTCTCTATATCTGCATTATAGGTGTCACTATTTTGGCATTTCATAGTTAGGAGCACACAGGGATAATGTGACAGTTGAAAATTGTGATGTAAATGCTTCACTGCTTGATATTTAATGGATAATATTAGTGTTTGAAACAATAACTGACTGATATGCCATATTCAACACTTGATAATGTAAATAATAAATTAAACCCACCTGTAACAGGTAATGGTATAACTTTAACTACACAGTCCTCAGTAAATACTACATTTCTAGCATCCTTAGAATTGTGTAGTCTACAACAGTAACTGCCTTCATCTGGTACTCTAGAATACATAACAACAATATTGCAAAACAAATTCAATGTTACAAATCACAGACCAGTTTCCCCTAAACTAAACTAAGATAACATCAATATTTGAAGGAACATAGTATTCATTGTCAACTCTCAAGAAAAATTGAAACAAATGCTAACTGCGACAAGGCCTAGGGTGTCAGCACAGGAAACTATACAACACTTGCTACATTTTGACAGGGAACACCATACTGAAAATAGGTAGAAAATCAATAGGCATCATCTATGCATGCAAACCAACAATGAAAAGAACTGGTAAAAATATTGTTGCTTGTAGAGTGACATGAGGAAAATGTGATATTATGATGACTCAAGTTAGTTTCAGACTGACACAACATACATATCATAATTACATTATATCATAATTACATACTGTAAATTTCAAATATCCGTAGCCTAACCATATATCCATACCTTGCACAAGTTATTTTTAAAGTAGGGTCCACAGCTCCCATAACTTCTGAATCCCCATTGAACCATTGATATCTAGGGTAAGGTAAACCAGTAGCTTTAACATGTAATACTATCATTTCTCCCTCAGTTATCTCTAGACTACGTTTAGGTTGACTGTGAATCTTGATAGGAACTGAAAACAAAATAAACATCAGTTTGGGCCGTGTGATATACCAGTATCAAGTTTTGAACGACATATAGAAGCGGGGAGCACATATAACAAAACACAAGACAATATCATAGAATGTAACACTCTTTCAACACAATATACACGTGTCGTCACCATTACATCTGATGACGACACGTGTATATTGTGTTGAAATGTTATGTGTCCAACCTTATTAAAGAAGTGTGTTATATTCCATAATATTGTCTTGTGATTTGTTATATACCATATATCATATCCTCTTTATTTATATCTCTACCAGGTTTTGCTTGACTGGGGATCTAAACTGACGTCAAATGAATTTTGCACTCTACTTTTCTGCTCCTAATTAAAATAATGGAAAAGAGCAAAACAATACAATGAGCATGTCTTATTCATAAATAATATTTATATAATTTATAATATTTTTGACAAATGTTAAAGCCACTTGCAACAAATGAACATTCTAGTTGATCTCTGAACACAGACTAGACTGATATCGAACAGAGAAAAGAGCATATATTTACTGTGGTCTGAATCATGGTGTGTTAATTGCATTTCTCACAAATCTAAAACAATGATCCAGATCACAGTTGATAAACAGGAATATACATCTTAATATATCACTACAACACTTCATCTTCCAGAATATAACTTATATAAATATTATAATCTACTTACTGTACTCAACTAGATCCAACAGAGGTTTTTCTAGGTGTAATTGATGTAAGACAAGAGCTAAATCTTTAATATTAAAACCTTTACCCCCTAGTTCTAATACCATTTGATCTGTTGGACTTTTACCACTATATACTTCCATTCCTATCATCTCTACTTCATGTTGTCTACAAATACAATGAATATAGTTAGAAAACGGGACATCAACCAGTTTTTCATAAGGGTGAATATTCAAGTATCTACCGGCTTCTCTTTAGCAAAACTTCTTGGCATTGATCTTTCCCATCCTGGATTATCTGAACTAATTTACAGCTGGGACGACTGGAATAATGAGGAAAGAAGACTTATTCAATGTCATCGGACTTTCAGGCGCCTAGAACCCACAACCATCATTTGTAACCAAATAAATGTTGGCATGTTAAGTTTTAACCTATAGATTTTCCTATAGAGGAAAGTAGGACTTATACATAGAAGGCTATAATATCACTATTGCAATTAACACTTGTAGCCTACTAGTTGTACTATTGCAGCGGTGGCTTCAACATTCATTTTTTTCTGGGATTACAAAAACTAAGACTTAATATCTTCAATGCCCATACAATCATTACAAATTCTGTTAAATCTTGAGAAAAATTCAGAGTCAAATAAAATGAAGCTATGACAAGATTGCATAGTTGAACTCACTTGAACATATACTGTTTTGACAGTGAGGCAATGAATGCCCTCCAATTAGCATCATGTGGACCAGTATCAAGTCTCTTTCTAATATCTATTATCACCTTTCCAGGTAAATCTCTTATATTTCTATCACTTTCAAAGCGGTATTTAAAACTGTTGGTAAAATTCATGTTAAAAAGTTCTTCAAAACGACAAGTTATTAATGGAACTCTAGAAGATAAAAATATTTTGATCCGGTTAATGGAACAGGTTTAACAACTGGTTGGTTGGTTGATTGGTAGATGACAGGTAAATGTTATTATATATCAAACTAGGTAGTTGTTAGTAGCTGTAGTAGTTAGAAGTTGGATTGGTTGAATTGGAAGATTCTGAGCTGTTGGTTTGGTAGTCAGTAGGTTTAACAGTAAAGTCAGAAAAGAGGAAAGACACAAATATTTCCTTACAGGTTTTGGTTTGAATCCTGAATTAGTGGAGTGTGTCCATATAGACCAAAGCACAAGGGACATAATCTGGTTTGTGTGGGTGTATGAGATCAGGGTAGCACAGTTTCAAAAATTATTAAAAGGAAAAACATATTATGCCAAGCCACGGATTGGATGGAAACATCAAAAAATCAAGTTCGATTTAAGGCATTCACTTCAAGAGAACTGTCTTAGGGATTTATTCAACTGCATTTCTACTCACCTGTGAATAAGTTAACGACAAAGCATTTCAAAGAAGTTTATCAGCGATGAAAATAGATCAATTCATTGATATTGTCAATTCTTAGAATTCTGATTATATGAAATCCGGATATTATTTAGGATTCTATAATTAGATTCGTGACGTCATTAAATATTAACCAATGACCAAATGAGAAAGATAGTCGTGATTGTCAAGATATACAAGTAACCAATTCAGTTTGAGACTAGTTAATATCGAATAAATAATCTCTAAAGGGAAATTCCCTTAGTCTTTAAGATTGAGACAACTAATATTTGTCACCAAGAACAGAACACAACGTTCGATTCGCGACACTCGGGTCTTTCTCCGTTCGTGGAGCTTAAAACCGAGGTATGGCTCATAATTTATTTCGAATATTATCACATCCATTTGTGAACACTTTTTTGCAAATCATTATTATTTCAAACTTATGTTAAGGAATTTTTATATTGGCCACAGGTCAATGAAAATGCGGATCAGAAGTCAGAGATGTCACGACCACTATAGCCATTGAACTTGGTAACACAGTCTCTTCCTGTCAGTGCTATCTAGGTTTAGTGGGCTGACAAGGAATCTATTTCATCAATTACTGCATGTTCCTTTAGTAACGGTACGATGATTATTCACATCCAACCTTGCTCATTCTCTTCGTACGATGGTAAAGGGACATGTAATTAATGTGACAATAAATCCGTTCTCTGTGTGTTCCGATAGGCTGTAATTTACCGATCCCGTGAAGTTTGAAATTTAAAAAGAGGAGGCTGTAACCACTTAACCTTATTGCACCTTGAATAGCTAAGCCAGTCTTCACTTGCCCAGACTGGAGAAGGAAAATAGGTGGTTCTGCTCCCTTAAATAAAACTTACAGCCTGCCGCCCCCTCCCCTCCTGCCACAGAAAAAAAAGCTTGTGTAATAATTGATATGCGCCATTTTGTCTGGATAATTGTTATGAGTTTGTTATCAATTTGTTATCAGTTTCATGAGATTATGATTTCAACACAGTCACGAGATAAAACCTTCACATTAGTGATGAGGTTTCTAATTCTATTCTGGGGCCAAAGGTCAAATCTATTGGGCAATACACAACAATATCAATTTAAAAGAAAATCCACCCCTTTTTAGATACGATTCTTTGTAGACAAATCAACGTATACACAGTATAATGGATCACAATAAGGTAAGACAATGTCTAATGGTCCATTTTGAAACTTAAAAATCGTTTTACTCCAAATATCTGTTCTTTATTATTGATATTTAATATAATTTATTAAAAATCTATGCGATTCAAAATTAAATTTTATTTTACAATGAAGCTATTGTTAAAAAGATAGACACTCAAAAGACAAACATCAATTTCGCTGTATATCAAACGATTCTATAAAATTTCTTTAACAAAAAGGCATTTCTGATTTCAGGGAGGCTACCCACAGCCAGGCGGATACCCCCCACAGCAAGGTGGATATCCTCAGCAAGGACCCTATCCACCACCGTACTCTCCAACCAATGCTGGTTATAATCAACAACCTTATGGAGTAGGTTTTTTGTGTCCTTTTTATAACCCACACTTTAAAAGTATATAAAATGGAATAATGACAGAGATAGACTTGTTAAGTCAGTAAGTTCAGCAATCATAAAGAAATGCGGTTCATAGAATCACACGAATTATCATGTAGTCTAAATAGGCCAGGAGCATTCGAAAAAAAACAGGGATATAATGTTTTAAAGCTGATTTTTTCAATATATTTTAGGATTGTCATCACAAACAACAAATTTGAGTTGTTGGAGATTCTTTAATATGACTCAAATATATTTGTCTAATCACTAGCTTTAATTAGATATGTTACATGTCTATGTTTTGAGTAACTGCATTTAATGATTGGTTCCCTTACTTTCATTTATTAAAATGAAAATACTAATACTTGTATGAATAGAAAGTAGAGGTGTTCTACTGACTTGGAAATATACCAGTTTGTCTCACATGTCCATAATTATTTCATAATTAGCTAAATTAGAAGAGAATTATCAGCAGAATTCCAATTCCAGTGACCGATCAAGAAAGATCAAAAAGTTTTTTTGTTTTGTTTATCCAGACTGTACATACATGGACATTTATGATCATCTTAACCATATGAAATAAGAACATAATGATATGATTAAGTATACATGGTAATTCATTAGAAACACCAATTAACCAAATAGTTTGCTTAATTTGACACTAAAAACTAAGTAAAACCATCTTTAAACAACAAATATGTTCTCATTGGTTGTTTTAATAAAGCTGATTTTCTCCTTTACCTCAAGGTGGGCTTTAAATATGCTGTTTGTGATGACTATCCTAATCAACTATTTTGAAAAATTCCGCTTTTTTTCCCCTTTTTGGCTGTCATTTGTTCTAATGCTCCTTGACTAAGAAGGCTGTCGTAAGACCCTAACTGAAGTGGCTATATTGAAAATAAAAGCTAATAAAAAAACAGAGAAAGAGTTTGATCTAATTTTTATTAGACTGAAATCTGATATATATATATGAAAACCAGAAAAGATAAGTGATGAGAGTTAAAATTCAGTCGAGCAACATTATTTAAATAATATGCAGTCTTCATAGTATAGTGATAAATGGATATCGTCACCTTAATGTAACATGCTTTAATTGTCTGTTTAACGTGCCAGTATATAATGAAAGCCTTACACCTTTAAATAGCTCTCATGTCTCTGCGACCATAACTAACTAAAATAATTGTCCGAAACGCCATCCGGCTCCAATGTCGTTGCAAATACGACCTCAGAGACCGTGTCACCCTTTTAATACCAGTTTGCACGTGCATTTCAATCTATAATCAAACGGAATATAGTTATCACGTGACAGATTGGATTTATGTCTTCTCTTGCCTCAATGTAAAACATATTCCGAATGAAGACAATTAATATTGTGTTACGGTCTACCTTTCTTACGGAAACTTACGAGGATTGCCGAATGATCCCAGGATAGACTAGAAAACTGCCTCGTTATGAGGGGTTGTTGATGAATCTGAATACACGTGCAATTCTAAAGGATTATTGTGTATTCAAATGGAGTTTGTTATATTTGTCGATGGTTGTCAAGTGTAAAAAAAGTCGCAAGGAGACGACCCACTCGAGTTTTTATATGGATGGCGAGCACCATTAAACCGATATTTTTGGTTCATTCCAATTTTCCATATCGCACCTGTTAGGCCTTCAATGCCAAATAAACAATATGGGTACCATGAGAGTAGTGTATACTAATGATGGTGATATATTTTAAATTTTCCGTGTTTTACTGGGCAAATGTTTCATTTCCCAGAAAAAATTGCCTATATTGTATTAGTAATATCTGAATAATAACCATTATATATTCAACTTCCATATACAGTCAAGTAACCTAATTTCGTGGAAACCTATTATTCGTGGATTTCCGGAAATGATTAATAATTTACATGAGCGATCTTGCGCGACCTCCGCATTAGTTTGTTTTAATAAACATGGGTTTTCTGTACAATATCAGCTAGTAGAATGAATCCAGTAGTTTCAAGCAAGGTAAAATGTATTAATGTATACTTTGACAAATACAAAATGGCGGATTTCAGTTATTACCAAACGTCACCATTTTTTATCGGCCGAATTTCCTTATAATCCCAAGCGGTAATCGGACTTTCAAGTGTCGTCTGCTAGAATGTAACCAACGAATGAAGTCACGTGATCAACAAGCGGATTCCGTGTCCGCAGAAAAAATCTATGGAACACAAAGTGGACCATATTCTTATGTTGTTTCAGTGACTTTTAGCAATAAATCACGCTACGTATCTTATTTTGTCAGTCACTATTTTTTTAAATCGTGGTTCTTTGAACGAATTGTCACTAGTTATAATGAATTGATATTAAAGATAAATACTAAGAGAAGTTAATTATACCACCCAGTATCCATACAACGTGTTTTTCTAGACTAATTTATAGATCAAACATTGTACAGGAAAATAGGTGACGCATTCTGCCGCCGTTGCCGAGTTGGTTGCTCATGAAATATGGGTCAAAGGGAAGGATTCATATAAAAAATCGAGATGAACCAATTTTAATTATTTTGTAGAATATCTCAGGAAACATCTAAGACATAAAATTTTTTTTTTTGTTTTTTTAACTTTGACGAAATTCGGTGTTGAAACCTTATGTCCACGAAAATAGGTTACACCACTGTATATATTGCCTAAATTCAAGGTATAATTTCCGTTTCTGTTTATTTGGAATTTTAGGCCTTGCAAAAATGTTTCGAGAATTCGAAATCATGCTATACGGGTAAACGATTTATAGGATCTCTTCAGGGAGAGTAGACCAGCCCTGAGAGCTTTGTTTTGTGAATTGAATGTATTTTTTGTTATATTTCAGGTTAGCCAAACACCAAATGTTGTAGTTGTAGGTGACGGCCATCATCACCACCAAACTATCGTTGTAGAAAGGTAAGACTATAGTTATCGAATTCATCTTTTGATATTGGGTTGGTAATAATACAATCCACTAAACAGGCCGACCTGAAGCAAAAACTTGCGCATATTATGGATCATACGTCATCACACAACTTAAGACTACCAAAGATAATTGATTTAAATTACTGACTTGAAATCGGGACGTCACTAATATTGTCGCCATTTCTGAGTTTATTTCCATGCAAATTGCAAGATGGACACCAAAATATGTCTTTAAAACCAGATACATCTGAAGGATACAATTCACCTTGTTCCCGGTAACAGCTCTGGCAAGAGTCCACTGTCGATATGTTTAATTTATTTCCACAAATGTCCATCCATTTTCATTTTCAATTATTCTTCATCCCTTTTCAGACAAGGTGTTAATCATGTACTTCATTTCTGTATCAGTTTATTTTTCTGGCCTTGGGTTATTGTTTGGATTATATTGGTAAGTTCGTCTCTTAACATTTTGAATTACGTTCGCTTGAAACCCATTTTTCCACTTGGCGATTTGGCACATGGGTGAAGACGTTATAATTTACGTTATAACAGCAAATAAAATTTCCTTTGAAGTTTCTCTGGTACCCGTTTGAAGTGCTCGAAGGTAACCCACTCACGACTCTCCCAGAACAAAAGGACTGAGCTAAAATAACATAGAATATTCACCTGCTGCAGCAAAAGGGTAATAAGCTGGCTGAATATTCCAACCAATGATTTTATGGATATGTATGAGAGGAATCTCCAAGACCATGATAAAGATTATATATTATTTCTATTTACAGTGTATCACAGATGAGTCACACTAAGTTGTGATAATGGTTACTATCAAAATATATATTTTCCCTCCTGATAGCATCCTATTCTAGCTATACGTAGTACTTTTCAAAATTAAAATCTGACCTCGGTACCTGTTTAATTCAATAAGAAGGACGTTAATGCTGTCTTCGTGCAAATCCATGCCCCTACAACGTTTCTTCCTTGTGGATATCGCCATTTTGAAGTCGATATTCACGAATATTCACGATATTGAATTGTGGTGTCAGATAAAGTCAGATTTTAATTTTGAAGAGTAAATGAAATGAATCAACTGATAAAGAATATGATTCTTAGAGTGTATCTCTCTAACAGACATGGGTTAATTATGTTTCCTGATTATTTATTGTACACCTGAAGAGACATTTTTTACTAGATCATTGGCATGGGATAAAGATAGTCTTTATCAATATAATGGTCAATTGTCCTTTTCATAGAAGCTTGATGAATAAAAGAATTGAACTCGTTGTATAATATATCAATGTAAATCGATGCGTTAATTTTTCACAACTCACTGTTATTGTTTTGTTGCTTATAGTATTATTAAAACTATCTAGAACTTGTATTTTTACTACAGTGTGGTTAAAATTGTTGATTTACTATCTTGTGAATTTAGACAGAAAAATTCAGATTTTTTCATAAGCGAAACGGATTGATTTATGTACCGAGATAGTCTAATAAATTGTTATATTTTTGTCTTTATTTCTTACTTTTATGTACGTTGTCGTTTGGGATTTGGATGCGATGTTCATTTGTGTTCTGAAAAACATAGTAATTTCCCTTATAGCGCTAAAGCTGCATAGATATCTTTTATAACATTATATTATTATACATTATTTATTATAAGAGATCTATGTATAATAGCGGCATTACCATTTAACATTGAAAACAGCGTATGTATCCAGAGAGAAACAAATGTTGCTTTTTGGCAACATAATCCTAAAAAAATGTGCACAGAATTATGCTTTTCATATATTCTCTTTTTCATTGGATTTTATTTTTCATTCCATAAACACCCAGAGGGTCTGTGAAGGTATATCGTTGTCATCTCTGTCCGTCTGTTAGTAAAAGGCTTTGAAAGCGATAAAGACTGTAGTTGTAGATTATTTTTACTGTGTTGTGTGTTCTGTTGGCGTTGATTTTTCATAAGACTGCCCAATTAGTTTATGTAAACTGTTAAGGATCTAGTGATAAAACGTGTAAAATCAACACTTGTTCCTGTTCTACTTTCTTATAATATCGGGTCACAATATAGCTAGACTTCTTTGCAATATCTCTAAGCTTTTTAACATATCGCATTTAGGAAGTACATGTAGCGGCGATCAATTTAACCACCGCGTCATTTATCTGTAGAACCATTTTCAGGGCGACAAATTCTTGTATTGGCTAATGCCGAGGCCAATTCGTCCAGTGATAGTTCTCGCTGTAGCCTTTTGTTGCCGGGGCCAAAATGACCACCCCCAACCCGGCATTTCATTTTGTGGGGATAAACCTCTTGACAGCCTCCACTGGAATCTATCTGTTCGCTCCCCAGTTCCACAAAATAAATACCAATAAATACAATAATTAATAAAATGATTATATATTGGCAAGTATTCTTGAATTTTGTAAAAAAAAAATGATTATAACAATTACACTGTTTATAAATTTTGCAAATGCTTATGACACAAAATCAAAGCAGGCATATAGATTTCAGCTAGTTGTAATGAACGTTTCCCAACCTATCAAAATCGTTAAATCATTATAATCCTAGACTACATTCTAAATTGTATGGATGAAACGGGTGTTACCTTACAATAATTGAGTATTTGACATACATATGAATAACCAACAATGACATAACATATCACTGAAATTATGTTCTCGGTGATAAACGTATAAAATATATATATATAGAATACACAAAACCTTGATCTTTGAAAACCAAATAGGTTAATTTGGAGTTTTCGGAGTTTTATTTAATGTTCTTGATGCCACGCCATCCATGATTTCACAATCGTCTTTTATATCACGTTCAGTCCAATCTTTAATTTTTAATTGTAAAAAAAGACTTCCGTACTCGACCCCCTCCCCTAAACGCCACTAGTACTATGTTAAAAAGGCTGACTGTGTGAGCCTCTTTCAAAATAACAAGAGATAATCCTTTCTTTGATTGATTACGAATTTACAGGTTTCTGTGGGCGCTGGGTATACAGATCAATAAATTTAGGTTTTTTTCATAAAAAAATTGCTGATAACTTTATAAAGTCACGATATCAAAATCAGTAATTTCATTTGAACTCTTGTTTAAGGCTATTACAAAAATCTTTCCAAATAAAGGCACTAAATTGGCCCGCACAGTCATCAGAAGTGAACATCATCTGATTAGTTTTCTGATATTCCTTGAAGAGACGGATCTATGTATATAAAATGAGCAAACTATAATATGAAGCAACCTCCTGTCATCACCAACTTCAGAGTTACCAACTATTAGCAGCATGTTTTCTAACATCCGTAACAACAGCACTGAAATAAATAATTAAATACATAATTTATTGTTTATCAATATAAGTATATACTATTTGACAATTTTGACCTTTATTATCATAGAAATTGTTGATAATTATGACAGCAATCTGCTCCATACCAATTACTCATGGTAAGTAAGCTACACTGTTCTCTGTCTAACCTTTGATTATTTTACCTCTCATCTTTGACCTGGATTCTCGTTAATGATTACATTGTCTCCTCCCGCGTTCGTGTGTAGCCTACAAATAGGGGACAGACTGACTCAATGGGGAGGGGGGGGGGGGATTTGCAACTGTCGAGACTGAATATTAAAGATGCGACAAGTCTATGAGAACACGTCATAGTCGCAAGCCTTTCACGAACGTCTCCCAAGAAAATGTCCGAAAACTGAATTGATTTGGTGTGACATGTATTTTATGGCAAAAACCCGTAAATATCACATTTTTTTTAATACAATGGAGGTACATATCGAAAAGAGGTAAATACCTCACGCCCTATACCCCCACTGGCGCCGCCACTGAAAGAGAGTTTGAGATTATGAGGAAACCTAAATTTATTACCGGAAATGACGTCTAAATGATCATGTACATAGCCAATTAAGTTTCCTTAAGCCACATAAAATAGTAATTAACCTCTCTCTACAATCTCTATAAATAGCTAGTTTAGTAGATGTTGAGAACTCGTATCACCACTTACTTTATATTGTCGACATTAGACCAGACACCAATACGTGAATAACAGCAAAAATTATTAATTGATTATTTCTATTAGTAGATTAAAGACCACGATTCAATTAACCGAAATAATTAAAAAAGACTTCAAATGACATTGCAGTGCACTTTATTTCTCGAGGCCATTTACAAAATTAATAAAATTTTGACTAGAACATTGAATTGACTTACCAATATGAGCCAAACAAACAACCATGGAAAGAAGAAAATGCTTATAATACAATGTAAACAATGATTGACACCTCGCCTGAAACACAAGAAATGGCATTCTTATTATTGAATAAGACAATATTGGGGAGGTCAGTACAAACATTATCACAATACAACACGGGGTATTTCGTATTATTTGTATGGGTTACTTCATACATGCTGTATATAACTGATGACCACAGGCGGAATGGCGATTCAAAGGAACATTTGGGCCTATGTTGAAAAACTGTCAACTGTCATATGTTTCATTACTGCATTTGAATATAGAACTGTATACATGTGAACAATGTTTCATTACTACCACCAACCCTATATGTCATGTGAACATTGTTTCGTTAATGCCGCTAAACCCTTTATATCAAGTGTTAGTTGTTCCATTACTGCCACTAAAACTTTATGCCATGTGCTTGTTGTGTAATGTGTACGTTGTTCCATACAACCGCTAAAACTTTAAGTCATGTGTATTGTTTCATTACTGGCACTAAACCCTTTATGTCATGTGTTCGTTGTTTCATTACTGCCGCTAAACCATTTATACCATGTGCTTGTTGTGTAATGTGTACGTTGTTCCATACAGCCGCTAAAACTTTATGTCATGTGTATTGTTTCATTACTGGCACTAAACCCTTTATGTCATGTGTCCGTTGTTTAATTACTGGCGCTCAACCATTTATGCCATGTGCTTGGTGTGTAGTGTGTACGTTGTTCCATTACTGCCACTAAACGCTTTATGTCATGTGTTCGTTGTTTCATTCCTGGCGCTAAACCCTTTATGCTCTGCGTTCGTTGTTTCATTACTGGCGCTTAACCCTTTAAGTCATGTGTCCGTTGTTCCATTACTGCCACTAAACGCTTTATGTCATGATAACGTTGTTTCATTACTGTTATTAAACATTCTCACACGAGTAAGTGGAGTGATCCGACTTAATTTTATGAACACAAACTTGTGATACGCAGTTTATTTCGTTTCTTGTATTTTAAAACGTATTACTCAGTCTTTTCTATCTAGTCCCCTATACATTGATCATGTCAAGTTTAGATTGGCTGGTGGGCTATACGGCATCGAACCTTTTAGGTTTTTAATCTTGTCATAAATATAAAATCTTAATAAATTAGCAGTCATAAATTACAGATAAAGCAAATATAATTTTTCAACCTCGTCAGATAATTAATGACCTTTGAAACAATTGTAATTCAAACATGTCATGCAAGACCATGGCTTCTAATCGTAATATTTGAATGCACATCGCAACATATGTTATTAAAATCACGAGATGATCATAATATTATGTCGGAGCCTACAATAAAATACCATCATAATTACTGTTTTAAATGGTGCAATGTTGCGCATAATACTGATATGTTGTGCAAAATAATAATAACAAAAATCATTTAGTTTTCCATCGTCTTGGTCCTTGAGCGAATAATTTTCCGAATGTATAAGTTTCCGGAAGGCGAAGAAGGTTTTTCTTTTCTAATTTGCGATAAAGTTACTTACCGTTCTTTTATAATTGTGGTAGTATGTGTTGGTGGTTGTTGTACAATAACTGTATCTGGCATCCTTAATATATATATTACACAAATTCACTAACTCGATTAAAACACAACAAATATTTAACTACAGACACTTATATATTTAAACCACAATTCAATTAACACACATCCAATACAAATTCACTATGATGAGTCACGTGTAAGGTGCAACTCTGAACAGTTGATGCATAAAATGTCGAGAACAAAATAATCTATACTTGAGCGTACAACATCGACTAACGTAAGAGAGAAAATAACAGTATTTAGGTCACACAATGACCTGGTGCGTCCAGTACAGTTAGGTTAAAGGTCATGTGCCAAGTCAATGTGTTTTAGTATGATGACTTAAAAATGTTTACGTGAGATGACAAAAAAAGATAAATTATGAAAGGTGTATCTGTAAAAGTACAGGTAATGGGTAATTAACATATTAATAGCTAAATGTGGGTTATTTCAACTTTGTCTAGTATAAAAACTTATCTGATTCCTTCCTGTATCAGCCTTATTATAATATGTAGTTATTTTTATGAATGAAAAACTCTCGAAAATTAGCACTATATACGTATAGGGTCGGATCAAGCAGGAACCAATGGGTTTCCTCGGTCCCCCGCACTACTTATACTTAGTTTGTTATCAGATTTAGACTTTTATACAGGTATTTTCAATTCATTGGCAGGGCCCTCGGACAGTGTCTGGTGGAGTGGTTGTCCGAACCCAGGCTGTGCACCTTAAATTTAGCTCGGCAGTTTGAAAAAGAAAAAACTTGTAACGTTGCTCTGGCAAATATTTTCTGGTTAAGGAAGCAATAAAACAGGCTCTACATTAAAACATAATATGACTTGATCTAAGGTTTCTAATATTAAAATTACATGATGTTCGAATAAAATGTTCGTCATTGTTCGATCTTGTTCGAAAAGTTGCCTACTAAGTCATACTTAAAAGCAACTGTTACATTATCCACCTGTGAGCGTGTCGTGTTTCATGATATTTATGTACGTTTTTCACTATAATAAGCTTTTCTGTAACATAGTTCTCAAATATTGTATGAGAAAATTACTTTCTCACATAATTATAAATAGAATGCAAAACACCTTTCAAGGTTTGCAACGACTGCATATGATTGGAGTTTTTTTATTCTCCTGTATTCCAGAAACTTAAGCTTATAGTGGGTATTAGGGGTGAAATCCCATCGGAAGCAGTGGCACAGACATCCGAATTTTCGAGAGGAGTGGGTTAAGTTTGAGCCAGTTACTTTCATTTCCCTATAAAATCGTAAAACAAATCTTCATAAAGGCATCTTAATAGCTAGCTAGATTTTGGTGAAAATTGGCTCGGTCAAGTTCGAATCTGACGATATATCGATGAACTATTTTTGAGTTATTGCCCTTAACTTAGTTTAAACGAGTCAAAATTCGATCTAAATTCAATAGAAGTTACAGTTATTAATCGATTTTGATTTAACTTGGTGTGATCAACGGAAGTGATAATATATTGGAAGTATTATAGGCTCTGATGATTATTTTGATGAATGGTTTTGGAAGGTAGAGTTTTAGGTGGTGTTTCATATGGAATTGTTAAGATCTTAGACAAGTTCGAAGCGTCAATAAACTAGAAGATAGAGTTTTCAACTGATTTTGACAAATCAATATGATCATTGAACTTGATGAAATCTGGGGCTTGTTCGAATCTGACAATTTTTGAGAGATTACAATCTACTGGATTTATCGAACACGATTCATGCAATATTTTTTTTTTATAATATGAGTTGAAAAGATATGGTGTGGACGTAGCTTATAATGTTGCCTGGCAATATAAAATCTCGATTGTGAAACTCGCTGATAAACAGAGAAAAGCTGTTATCTGTAAACTATGATGAGTAATTGAAAGTAACAAACAGTGACAATGACGAATCAGAGCGTGATTGTTATGAAATATTGTTTTATTTCGCAATTTGATACTAAAAACATTAATGATAAATTGAACGACCCTTGCTTGTCATGTCATTGAAGTGGTGAATAATTCCCTCGACATAAAGTGAAACTAAAGGAGTAAATCATTAGATAGACTACAAATCGAAGGGACATTGTTTTCACTTGAATGAACTTAATCTCAGCAAACCCTGAAACTTTTCAGAGTGAGAATATGACATTCAGTTCTTTTACAATTTGAGAAAAATTAAATTAATTTTTGTACGCCCACATGAAATGGCGTATATTGCAGGCACCCATTTCCGTCTGTCCGTCCGTCCACTCTAGAAGGATTTTGATGAAACTAGTTGTGAGTGTTTGTTATCACCCGAGCATGAACCCTGTTGAAAATCAGAAATAATTAATATGCGTTATTATCCTTGTTCTTGAAAACGTGTTCAAGTTTTAGTCTGTAAACACTCTAAAAGACCCAATTCTTGCCGGATTTCGACAAAACTGATTGGTAATATCATTCAGTATCACCCCAAAAAATTCAAAAGAAGTGTATGACTGAAGGTTAAATATTTCATAGCCTACTGGTAATTTTTACAGTAGGCCTACTGCCAAAATTTTTATTCAAAATCAAAGCTTCCAGTGGACCTATATTACCCTGCCTGGTAAGCTATCGTTAGTGTAGTAACTATTCAAAAGGAAATATATACCGATGTTTTCAAAAGTTAAGGCTTAAATTGCATAAACAAATATGAGTTGCGAGTTGCTATACTATATGATGTTCAGTCCTCTGGCCAATAGCTGCTCATAAAGTACATGTTTTAATAGTTAACAAAAGTCCTTTCCTCAAAAACATTTCAAACAGTACACCAAGATAACAGTGTGCTTGACAAGGTATTAATAATAGAATATGTTTATATAATTTAATATGCTTTTTTAACGATTTTAATGTCAGGAAAAAGTATTAAGTTCTCCAAAAAAATGTTTAAAAATGGGCTTTACAATATATGAGGAGAAAATAATTGTTCACACATTTAATATAGGTAGTGTGCGAAATATCTTTTTAGAGTGTGCAACGACTCAATCTATTGAAGTTTATTATTATCTTGGTATTTTGTATTATTAAGTTTATTCAACCGGACTTTTGTTCGTTTTCTTATGCAATTTCTAAACAAGCCAGTTTCTTAAGAGATTCGGTAGAAGGTTTGCGTTCAATTTTTAGCTCGTAGACGCTCTAGAAGGTTGAATTATCGGCTTGCTAGAGGTTGGATGATGCATAAGCGGCGCACCTTATTTGTTTCTGGTATAAATTGAAACTATTTCCGTGTCTAACTTGTTCAGCTTCATAATCACATGGCTAGACCACATACCTGTATCAAATACTTTATAAAGTATTTATAGTTGATGTCTCAAAAGTTCACAAGACAGTGAGTGTATGGTTAACAACATCTATAACAATATAAATATAAACTATCTGATATTTGATAATGTCAAGGTTTTGTCATCTTGGTATATTAGAGGATGACATATTTCTCGGGATTATTATATATTTTCTATTTTAGACGATAGTCAAGAAATATAGAGAAAACATGGTATAAACATTTCACATCTCTTTTCTTGTCTCCCAACGACACGGAACATAAGTCAAAAAACACTATATCAGTTGAAAAGAAAACAACAATATCCTAAAAGGGTAGCAAAACAGTCCTCAATCTTCTACCCAAGGAGCTGGTCAAAGGACAATCCTCTGGTCAATTATTTTTCATTAACAGCTGATAATTTGATAGAATTATTCTAAAATGTAACAAATTCCCTAAAGAGTTGCCGCTTGGACAATCCCAACTGAGACCACCAAATATAAGCTTGTGTGGACACTGATTAGATTCCAATGCGAACCATGCCTAATAGTGCTCACGCAGACATTGGTTAAAAATGACGCAGTACTGACATTGTTTCTTTGGCTTCATGGCGAACACTGCTAGCAATGCATTGCATATTTTATTGGTTTGGTTTTTCTGGGGGTCTGATGTTATTTAAAGTTCAGTTCTACATGAAATCGTGTTTATGGACCACTAAAACTTTTTATTAAATGATTGTATAATGTAGTCCGTGTTATTTTTAAAAATCCTCTCTCTCCCTCCCTTTTGGGGTTTTGCATGCCTATTTTCGACTAATTTTTTGTCTCTATTTGGAATTTGATGTCTGAAATTTCATTTCTTTCAGATTTTGTGAGATGATGAGAGATTTTCATGCGGAAGGATGATTATAAAAATAGTCGTTTTGTGTGCAGTGACATTCGAGCGAATGTTGATAAAATTTAGTGGTCTACTTTCAGTTTGGCTAGCTCAAGATTTTCATGGTCATGATATTGAATTTGTGTCCAGAAACTAAGCATTGGAAAGTCTTTCATGTAACATATTGGAAAGTTTTCAACCAGATTTAGTTATAGATGGTTTATTTTTGTTGACAATCAATAAAGCTATGTCCATGGCATGTGAAGAGATGCAGTCATACAGATAGCTCTATGTAACTCTAAAACATATTTCCTATTGGTGTCGGTGTTCAGGGAACGGCGCCCAAAATCAGATACAGATATTTATTGATGATAGTAATATTTAATAAACAACTAACATAAGCAATAAATAACAATAGTTGACATTGTACAGAAGAATATTGAACAGCGAACAATCATTCAAAACAATCATTTTAAAATCGTAATAAATTTTACTTTAATAAAAAGCTTAGACATTATGTAATATTTTTTTGTAAATGGGCGATCTGACGTTATATCATGAGGTCTCTAAATACAGAACTTATCTGCCCCGGTATTGGTGTAATGGTACAGGCACCAGTTTAACAGATGATCTGGCATTGATTTTCCGATAGTTTTTTGGACATCTTTGTGAAATATGACGTTAGTACATTTGCCCCCGTTACGCTTTCTTAAACAACTGTCGTGGGAATCTGTTATACACTCTCTACACTATTATTATTTATGATACTATATGTCTGATAATATTGAATTCTGAGGACATTTGTTACTTGTCTGTTCGTGGAAATACAATTCTGAATGTCTTGTTCGCAGAAGGACGATTCTTTGTTGATATTTTTTTTCATGTCTACAATCCTTGAGTTAAACACTGAAAAATATAAATATTAATTCATTATTTCATTATCTTTTACTACTTTAATTGCACCTCGCCATCCTTTGTGCAAACAGGACGATTTGCCTATTTCTGCTTCCGTAGAGCAGTTCCTGAATCGCTGACCCATGTAATGATACAATCGTATATATTATATATATCGTCAAATATTTTTTGGAATGAAGCCATAATTGAGAAGCATTGTCTTTTTGGGTTGCAGCTGTTTCGCTTTCCTCCTTAAATTTTAACCAAATGTAATTCGAGTCTTGCTTTGGATGTAAACTTAAAATTTTGTAATTGAAGCTGGAGATAATGAACTTATAAGGATTTTTAGATGGATGTTCAAATAATGATTCTATGGCTAAAAGCATAAAAATGTATTACTCACGAAATATAACCAGACAAAAACCCAGGGAGGGAAGAAAATTGATATAATAGCATGTAAAGCATGATCAGCACCTTCTCTTCGCCTGTAAAATACAAATTATGTTATTATTAGAGCATTCGACAATCTTAGGCAATCTCTGGGAAGCTGCTTGCACGGTACATCGTTTACTAGTGGAGGATATTCATTAGTACATATGCTAAATGTGATGTCCAACATCTAGCAGGCAAACTTAATTAGTTATCCTTGATCGATAAACATAAAAAAGGAATATGCTGTTGCCTATTACATTGTCAAAAATTGTCAGAATTTCTACACAGTTTCACAAAGTATTTGATTTTTTTCCTGATTCCGATTACATGATATAATACGACATGATATAATCCGACATTGTTTTACGGTCTCAGTGAATGTCGGATTACACAGGATATACATCATATCAAAATATATCCCCCAAATCCTACATTTTGAAATGACTTACTTGTTGATAATAACTGTATTCTGAGCTGGTTGTGGAGCTACAACAACAGTATTCGTATGTGTTGAGACTGGTTGAGGAACATAGGTTGGTTGTGGGATAAATGTCTGATGTGATGTGAATGTTGTATGTTGTAGTGGTGCAGCTAGTTGTTGTGGGAAGGCAGGTTGTTGGGGGTATATGGGTGCAGCAGGTTGACCGGGTAAGGTGTAAGCGGGTGGTGGTGCTGTGGACATCTGAAACATACTAATGATTTTTAATCAAATCAATGTGTCTTTAATTCGGATGTAGTGGCGTTTCTTAAAAGATTATTTGGGGGTCCGAGTGGGGATCACAAAACTGTCAAGGGAGGACTTAAGGCACGGGACACTCAAGAACAGAATGGTAAGAAACTTGAAAGTCTCTCCTGCAACCCTTAGAAACTGTTCGGATGTTCGGACAAAAGCAAAGAATCGTGTGCTTCAAGCTCTCGATGGTGAATGTAAAGGGTATGCGAAGATCGTCCTTGGAAAAGACTTGAACACGAATACATAGAACTGCGTTCTCTTTCCATTGTGAGTTAAAGAACCCTGCTTTTTCAAAAGAAGAATATTAATAATGATATTGAAAATAGATATAATTGACAATCGCTTACCTTGATGGTTAAGGCTATTAAGTTACTGAACTGCACAAGCAAGATCTGACCTTAAACTGATATATCAGAACAATACTATGTTGATTGGTCAGTGTTTAGTTAAGTTACCGTGGTAGGACCACAACAAATATTAATTAACAAAGGCCATGGATTATGTAATAAGTAGATTAATCTTTAATCCCGCCCTGACGGTATAATCAGTTTATCTCTCATTCAGTGTTATTAATTTGGTTTAATTGTAATATAACATGCTATAGTGTAGTATACTAGAGTCACCAGCGTATTATTTCATTGAAACCATGGGCTTGTCCATAATAATGTATCAAAATATTCAGTTCTTTTAGTTTTTATTTTATAGCAGTTTCACAAGATTTGTAATTTGTGTAGTGGCAAAAACCAATTGGATTAAATAATTGTTCATAATGCCATTTGTTACGAAACATTTAACAAACCATGCTGATCATCTTAATAGTCTTTAACGTGGATTGAAACGAAGGGAAAGGTTTGGGACGTTTGTATTTTATTAGTATGCTGCTTTAAAATTTTATTATGTGGTGTGGTTCTCCTGTATTTAGTGTTAGAATTCCAAATATTGTGATTTTTCATTTTATTACTTTTAAAGATTTTGGCTTAGCAATGTTATATTCTTAAAATGACCCCAGGTCAAAATAAAATATAATAGTTCTCTCAATAGTTAATTTATTGTCCGTATTGGCCATGTATTGGTGAAAAAATGCATGAATAATTTACATATTAGGCAACAATATAGAAAATAGCAAAGAAACACAATTAACCATTTTGTTTCAGACAGAACAAAAACATCTGATCACAAAACCTTAACATAGTAACATATGTATTAATAATGAAGCGCAATGGACCAAGTACCGAGCCCTGTTGTATACCAGTTTGTATGAGTTTTATATCATTTATTTAATAAATCACTTTGACCTACCAGGTAATAATCAACTTATATAAAACTAATTACAAAGCGTATTATTATTATTTCACTGGAGTTGAGATGTATAAATTTTGATTTAAAAAAATGTCCAAGGAGAGGGACTCTAAACCACTTAAGTCCACGGGCCCTCACTCATCTAGTTGAGCTACTGGTTTTGTGGTGATGTACAGTTTGATAATATATAAATCATTTCACAAAATAAAAAGTTATTACTAAAAAGTTTATTACAAACAAACGTTATTTTATTATCTCTTCTCGTTTTGATTGATATATCTTGCTATATTCTCTAACATCCTTCAACACAACACTAAAATACAGAAATATAAAATTTCATTTTCTGATGTTAACGCGACAACTTGATGATAACGCAACGCAACTGCGTCGAAAGTTACTTCTTTATGCATTTCACGAAAGATACAAAACAGGTTTGACAATTTATGTATAATAGCGACACATTTCTACTTAACTTCTATTTACACCATACCGATCAAGACAACTGGTATTTACAATGATGACGACATAATTTGGTCTTTTGTCCCCGAAATTACAGTAATCGACGCCGTCGAAACGAGGGACTGCTGGGAAAATATGTTCACCACTAGACCAGAATCCCGATTAGGTACCTCAAAACTTGAAAATAGTTTCATAGGGTATGAATAGAGATGAAATTAGTTACTCACCAAGATCATCCAAACAAAGATCCAGAATGGACAAAACAGTGATATAATACAATGTAGAAGATGATTGGTACCTTGTCTGAAAAGAGGAATTAAGTCACGTGTTAAATACTTCATTTGATTTCCATAATTGATAATCTGTTTCAAAACTATTCAATATTTGATATCGTTGCTGGAAACAAATCTTACGAAACGTCTTGTTCCTTCAAACTTCCAGAAATATAACTTATAGTGCCTAAAGTATTTTTACAGGATATATAGTGGAATCGATAACCCTTGTTGTTAAATATTTCAGCCCAACTTAAACACCTGCCATCAGAATGAATAAAAATTGATTAAAAAAAAATTGAATTAGATTACCTTTGATTAACAATTACTGTTTGTGTTGGTTGAGGCTGACCCACTATCACCACATTATTAGATGTCTGTTAAATAAAAAGAGAAAAATCAAGATCTAATAATTTAACTGTGCCCACTTCACTTCAATATCAACTTCACTTGAATCCTATGATAGATCACAAACTTCATCCAAAGCACCAATCGACATGAAATGAACAATGGACTCTCCGTAACAACTCTCTGTAAAGGAGAGAGAGGTTCATTGTTGTCGACGCACAGACAAGTATTATTTGAATTCGACCAAGTCTTAAAAAAAACCAGGTTGTTTTGACTCAATAACTCGATTCATCTATTTAGATCCTTGGTTTCCAAACAAACTTTCGTTCACATGATACAGAGTAGCCCTTGTGGCAATTTGGTACCCCTTTTCAACCATAAGCACAGTAAAAGAAATCGATATTCAAATTGATTTGTATGACTTATTTGTTCGTTTCAGGTCCCTCTTAAGTTGATCAAAGATTACCCAAGAGGGTATTAGTACACTATATGTTGGAAGCTATGGATTTAGAATAAACTTAACTGGGTTACCTGTTGATGTCCATAGTATCCAGGACCAGGTCCATATTGTGGTGATCCATAACCTTGAGGTGGATGAGCATAGCCTTGGGGTGGATGAGCATAGCCTTGTTGAGGTTGAGCATAGCCCTGTGGTGGTGGTGGTTGATTGAACCCTTGTTGTGGTGGTGAACCATAACCGTGTTGTTGAGGATGAGTAAACCCTTGATGTGGCGGAGGTGCGTAACTATGTCCTTGTGGTGCGCTGTATGGAGGCGGAGGTCCTTGTTTCTGAAAAGAGAACGACAATAATGGATTGACAAACATAAATTCAACCCAGGTCTTGTTTTCCACCGCACCCAAACTGAACTGTACCAGACTATTAAAAGGATTCAGTTTTCGACTTTTCGACCGATATAATCTAACCTTTGGTTCAACTGAGCTGAAGCAGACAAGATGTTGGCTGGTATTAATAGCAAAGCACACAACCACATCCACCGGACAAACCGGAAGAAGCATGTCTTTCATGTCCGACCACCTCAAACTAATTTTAATGTACATGTAATGTTATATTTAGGTCAGATTTCGAATCATCAATAGCCGAGTTCTCCCCCTTGGTATGTAAATGCTGTAAATGTCTTAAATTATTATGTGTCTTTATAATAATTTGAACTACAAAGCTATATATGTCTCTTTCCATTGTGTACACGCGTTTAAAAAATAATATAGTTTAAACTAGACGTTTACTTACATTTTGATCCGCCATGTTAAATGTATTTAAAATTGTATTGTCAAGCTGCTAATCTGTAAAATAAGTTTTAATATTTTCATGTCAACAAACCTTTGTAAGATAGCTTGCCAGACAAGGTAATATACGCCCACTGGCAGCTTTGATTTTGAATAAAAATATTTAGCAGTACAGTAAAAATCACCAGTATGAAATATTCAACCTTCAGTTCTTTTGAACTCTTTAGAGCGATACTGAATAATATTGAGTATGAATTATTTCCCTTGTTCTTGAAAACGTGTTCAATCTTTAGCTCGTGAAAACTCTAGAAGACAAATATTCAATCTTCAGCGCGGGACTGAATAATAAAACCAAGTTTTGTCAAAATCCAGCAAGAATCATGCCTTTTAGTGCTAAAGCTAGAGCTAAATTTGAAAGCGTTTTCAAGAACAAGGGCAATAACTCATACTTAATATTTTTCAATTCTTCTGATTTTCAACAGGGTTCGTCATTGGGTGAGTACGAACATTCACACCAGGTTTCATCAAAATCCCTCAAGAATTGTGCCTTCTAGAATGATTACCAGCTAAAAATTGAACGCGTTTTCAAGAACAAGGGCAATAACTTATACTAAATATTTTTCGATTCTTCTGATTTTCAATAGGGTTCATTCTTGGGTGATTACGAACACTCACACAAAGTTTGGTCAAAATCCGTCAAGAATTGTGCCTTCTAGAGTGTTTACGAACTAAAAATTGAATGCGTTTTCAAGAACAAGGGCAATCACACATACTTAATATTTTTCGATTTTTCTGATTTTCAATAGGGTTTATCCTTGGTTGATAACAAACACTCATGTCAAGTTTCCTCAAAAGAATTGTCCCTTCTAGAGTGTTTACGAGCTAAAAAAATTGAACGCGTTTTCAAGAACAAGGGCAATAATTTATACTAACTATTTTTCGATTCTTCTGATTTTCAATAGGGTTCATCCTTGAGCGATTACGAACACTCATACCAAGTTTTGTCAAAATCCGTCAAGAATTGTGTCTTGTAGAGTGTTTACGAGCAATTGTGGATGGACGGACCGACGGACGGACCGACGGACATGGGTGACGGCAATATACGCCGATATATAGAAAAATCATTTCACACACAAACTGGTAACAGAGAGCCTGGTTGTAAAGAGTGAAAATAGAGATGGGATATAGTGAAATAGAGGTTAGAGGACTACTTTTCTGCGCCTGATTGGTAAATGAAGACGAATTACTGCATGCCTAATCTTTTTAACGCACTTAGTCTGAAGCATACGGGGCATTGGCGTGTTATCCAATTGGGTTGAAAACTCGGTTTATACTTGGCGTGTAACAAATAAGACCCCTTTGGACCACAGGGATTGTTTGGTATAAATATCTCGCAAAACAAACACCCCCATCCTATCAACCAACGGCTTTCATCATTTCTAATAAACATGACGCTTCGTCTTAATTAAGGTTTTCAGTGAATTTAGTCGACATGACTGTTGACAAATTGCAGCCATTGCTCATTGATTACTTCCTGTTCCTGGTAAAAATTGGTCTAGGACTTCTACCTGAGACGTCGGAATCTGTGACTACCATGTTGAGCACAGTTGTCAATTGCCAATTTGGAGATATGACCGCCAATTTCATATATCGGCTATGGCAGATCCCACGAGATGCCGTGATTAGCCAGTCGATGTGAGTTTCCCGCCATATTGTCATTATTGTGCAAGAACGATACATAAGATATTCAGATATATTTAGTCCATAATCACAATGTCATAAGTCATTACTTCTAAAATCACATTTTAAACATAATTGAAGTGATATTGTATTCTAAACATTTATTTTAGAATCTTGATGAAATTACGTCTACTTGTTTCTTTGAATAATTGTCGAATATATCCCCCTCTGTATGGATGCACGTCTTATGCAAGGTTCTATCTTTAAACGAACAAAAGGGTAGCTAACGCATGTGACCTTTTAATTTTCTTCCTGCTCTAAATTACAGTTATTTCTAGGTCAATATGTATCACTAGCTATGTTATTCAATCTTTATCATGAAATATATCTTATTGATGATAATATAGACTTTAATATTCTAACAACCGGAGTTACAGATAGTCCAAAGAAAAGATAAATTTAGCTTAATTTACAGCAGTGGTTCAATTACTATAGGGAATGGTTGAACCAAGTCTACTTGCCTTCACCCTTAAAACGACCCAACCCCCAGAAAAAATACAATATTTTAAAAAATGTAGGCCTACCTAAGTAAATACCTAAAGAAAATCTTTAAATCTTTCAGACATTAAATTGATTCACAGAGAAGTCTTAAAATGAGAGCACAATTATTTTGAAAAAAAATTCCTTGGGGACTGGCCGCAAAAATGTTCAATTATTTCTGAATTCTGAAACAGTTTCCAAATGTCTTGTTCCTTCGTAAAAGTCAATTTACCAAGTTAACTACCCTCCGGTCTGGGAACATTGGTCGCACTATCCATTGTGGTTATGAATGCTATCTGTTTATGACATCATATTGTATAGACCTATTATCAATGAAAATTTTATGGCATTGTGATCCATAGAATTGATTATGACAGCAGTTCATACCCACCACTGTAGGCCTAATGTGTAAATATAAGGCAGGTATCTGTTGAATAAAAGGTAGTCCATCTCTTTGCAAGGTTAATGGAATGGATCAGCTAAGCCATATACCAGAGATAGAGCAAGATTACGACAAATAGCAGGACAAACCGCCCTTAAACGCTTTTCACATACAATAGATTTGAATTAGAGCAATTAGAACACTGCCGTTATGGTAAAACCAAACTTCGATGTACTTGCATATAATGATGTAAAGTTTTATATTTTGTTTTCGGAATGACAGGAACCACAAACGGATCGTGAAATCCAACTAGTGTAAATATAATCTGTGTGTGTCCTGATACATTTTATTCTAATTTTACAATCTAACTCGGGCATGTCGTTTATTATGTAATATATTATGATGATAAAGTTCGAGACGCCTTTTACTTCACTGTCAATTAATACATAAAGTAGGACAAATAACGGTATAGGCCGATAACTGATTCATCCAGTGGGCTTTTAATGTTTGTCCTGAGACCAAATAGCCAACAAACCGCAACAATTGGGTCAGTCCAATAATTAATAAAGGTAGCTTAATGTGTCGTCTGAAGAAAAAGAATAAAGGAATTACCTGTGAACAATGATATTCAAATTCTAATCTTATTAAAATCTATTTCCTAGAAAGATGATACAAAGAAATACATCGACGTCATAAAATTATATTTTTATCATGTCAAATCACGTGACACTCGACACCTTTGTTATTGAAACGATAGACGTGAATCGGTATAGAAACCAGTCTACATTGGTCTTTCGTCTTTGTATAAAGCGATGTAGTCCAGGCTATTTTTAGAAATCTTCTTTCGATTGTAGCCCAGGCTAATATTAGAGATGAGATGATGAGAGACCTAAAGGCGGAAGGCTAATTCTGAAAATAGTCGTTTTGTGGAGTGCCAAACTCTAGCGGATGAGTATAACTACCAGAGACATGGTACAATATCAATAGTCTTGTACTACCAGAGACATGGTACAATACCAATAGTCGGGTACTACCAGAGACATGGTACAATGTCAATAGTCTTGTACTACCAGAGACATGGAACAATATCAATAGTCGGGTACTACCAGAGACGTGGTACAATATCAATAATAGTCTTGTACTACCAGAGACATGGTACAATATCAATAGTCGGGTACTACCAGAGACATGGTACAATATCAATAGTCTTGTACTACCAGAGACATGGTACAATATCAATAGTCTTGTACTACCAGAGACATGGTACAATATCAAAAGTCTTGTACTACCAGAGATATGGTACAATACCAATAGTCGGGTACTAACAGAGACATGGTACAATATCAATAGTCTTGTACTACCAGAGACATGGTACAATATCAAAAGTCGGGTACTACCAAAGACAAGGTACTATATTAATAGTCTCGTACTAACAGAGACATGTCTCTAAATAGTGAAATAGAGGATAAAGGACTGCACCTGATTGGGCCGTTGAAGACGAAATATACTGCATTAAGTGTTCATTAGTCTGATCTATGTCGATGAATCTGTAACGTTATTCTGTCCGAATCACCAGTTGGAAGCCGGGTTGAAAGTCACAGCCTATGCCTGGACAAGTAACGAGCAAGAAGCCTTTGGGCCATCGGAGTCGTTTGGTATAAATATACCACCATTTCTAACACCCACCCTTCAATTATCAACCCCAACCTGATCTAATAAACGGTCGTCTGTGCTCTTGGGGTGTTTTTCAGTGACTGGAAGATTTATCGATGGATTTATTCGACGTGATGGCTGAAACTTCCTCATGTGAAAAGTTCATTAGCTGCTACAAATGTTTCCCCAAAATGTTTTTTTCGGATTTCGCGTTTCGTTTTGCGGTTCAGATCGTTAGTACTTTGTTTATATATTGATGATTGTTAACAGCTTTAGATAACAGATAGCCTATAAAAAGTATAAATAAGGTGAATTTTCGCTTCTTTTAATGGCCAGCAATAAAATTTAGTGAATTTTCTTTTAAATCGAAACAAGGAGCAGCAAAAAAATGCAATTACTTCTAAATTCTGATATCAAGCCATTTCCTATTATCAAACCAAAAATTAAGCTTAGTCATCTTATTCCTTCGTAAATGTCACTTTACCAAATTAACTTCTCTACGGTCTTGGAACGTTGCGGTTATGAATGCTATCTGTTGATATTGTAAGGGCTTTATGACATTGACTATGGAAGGCGAATTTTTTTTTTAATCCAATATGCTGCATTGCTATTTCTTAATTCTTATTTCAAAATTCTTATTTCTTAATTTGTATTCTTCAACATAACTCAACTAACAAATGTCCAAATACAAATGTTCAATAACAAATTTTGCCTAACAAATCTTGAGAAACATTTCTCCAAATACATGTCAAGTATATTTGAGGGTCATGATTATGACGACATATGTCGCTGTACAACTACCATAAAATAAGATACATTTGTATTTGGTCATTTGTTGGTTGAATTTTGGATTTGACAATAATTTTCATTTGAAGATATGTTGAGCTAGATTTGTATCTGAAGATATTTCTTGGCTAGAGTTGTATTATAATAATAGAAAATGGAATTATTTATCGAAGAATGTTGATCTTAACTTCAAAATTTGCTTATCCTGTACAAATGTCAATTTTCAATGACAAATGTTGATTTTAGCATACAAATTAATAGGTAAGAATTTAAAAATAAGAATAACGAATTAGCAAAGAACATTGAGTAAAAAAACGCCTTCCATATTGATGATGATCATGCTCATTCATGGAGGGTTGATTTGAGTCTGAAATAAACATGTATGTAAATAGTCTTCATGAGTATTGGAAATGTACAAAATTCGTATATTACCAGTGACCTAGTAACAATACGCTGGTATTACCTGTGGCCCAGTAACAATATTAAGGTACTACATGTGACACAGTAACAATATTCTGGTAATACCTGTGAGCCAATAACAATACCTTGGTACTACCAGTGGCATAGTAACAATATTCTGGTACTACTACTAGATCCTGGTACTACATGTGACACAGTAACAAACTACCGGTACTACCAGTGACCCAGTAACAATACCTTGGTACGACCAGTGGCATAGTAACAATATTTTGGTACTACTACTAGATCCTGGTACTAACTGTGACACAGTAACAAACTACCGGTACTACCAGTGACCCAGTAACAATACCTTGGTACGACCAGTGGCATAGTAACAATATTCTGGTACTACTACTAGATCCTGGTACTGACTGTGACACAGTAACAAACTACCGGTACTACCAGTGACCCAGTAACAATACCTTGGTACTACCAGTGGCATAGTAATAATATCCTGGTACTACTACTAGATCCTGGTACTAACTGTGACATAGTAACAAACTACCGGTACTACCAGTGACCCATTAACAATACCTTGGTACGACCAGTGGCATAGTAACAATATTCTGGTACTACTACTAGATCCTGGTACTAACTGTGACATAGTAACAAACTACCGGTACCACCAGTGACCCAGTAACAATACCTTGGTACGACCAGTGACCCAGTAACAATATCCTGATACTACTACTAGATCCTGGTACTAACTGTGACCTATTTACAATACCATGGTACGACCTGTTGCCCAGTCACAATATACTAATTCTGCCTGTCGGCCAGAGACAATATGCTGGTACTACCAGATGTCCAATATCGATAGTCTGGTAGTGCCTGGTCATAAGTCCCTTAAATTGCAACTGTGTAGGCGCCTAAAAGCGTGGCAGATCCTTACTTCATCCGTCCGTCCGTCCACAATTGCTCGTAACATTCTAGAATGCACAATTCTTGACTGGTTTCGGTGAAACTTGATATAATTGATATTGAACCCTATCTATAAGACATTTCAAGTACACATAGAATGACTTGGGTTATCTGTTGATGTCCATAGTATCCAGGACCAGGTCCATATTGTGGTGATCCATAACCTTGAGGTGGATTAGGATAGCCTTGTGGTGGATGAGCATAGCCTTGTTGAGGTTGAGCATAGCCCTGTGGTGGTGGTGGTTGATTGAACCCTTGTTGTGGTGGTGAACCATAACCGTGTTGTTGAGGATGAGTAAACCTTTGATTTGGCGGAGGTGCGTAACTATTTCCTTCTGTTGCACTGTATGGCGGAGGTCCTTGTTTCTGAAAAGAGAACGACAATAATGGATTCAACCCAGGTCTTATTTTCCACCGTACCGAAACTATACCTGACTATTAAAAGGATTTGGTTTTCGACTTTTCGATTGATATAATCTAACCTTTGACTCGGAAATAGAATATTTTTTATGTCCGAGCACCCCAAACTCTATTTAATGTACATGAATATATATGTCACTAATGAACCACAAAGGTATGTCTCTTTCCGTTGTGTACACGCGTTTTAAAAACGATATCGTTTAAACTAAAGCCATACTTACATTTTGATCCGCCATATTAACTGTTTCTGGAAATGTGTTCTAAAAAAAATCTGTAAATCAAAATATGTTACCATTATAAATTTAGTTTGAATATTATCATGTCAACCTTTGTAAATTGCATTTTCAAGATAACATGTTAAATATACGTTGCGATTCTGATATTATCAATTTCATTTTAAATTTCACTTTAAGGACTACTTTTCTGGGGCTGATTGGTAAATGAAGACGAACTATTGCATGTACCCTGCATTAGCCTAATCTTTGTTTTTCCTCTTAATCTGTCGATGAATCCTTAACGTAACATAGTCTGAAGCACACAGGGCCTCGGTTTATAATCACATCGGATTAAAAACAGGGTTGGAAATTTCGGCCTATGCCTGGACTCGTAGCAAGCAAGAACCTTTTGGGCCATCGGAATCGTTTGATATACCGCCAAACAAACACTCCCATTCTAACATCCACCAGCTTTCACCAACTTCCGGATCCAATAACGTGAAAATGACACTCCGGCCTTCCGTGCTATAGAGAACAACAGGGTTTTCAGCGACTATCGGCATCTGGGAGAGTATATTCATTCGTTGCATTTATTCGACGTGACGGCTAAAAAAATCGCAGATTGAAAAGAGAGACGGGAATCGGTGTAGAAAACTAGTGTACATTGGTGCAGCGTCGGTGTACATTCGTTGAACGAGCACAAATTCTTTATGTCTATTCTTTAACAGTCAGTTCACCGGTCAAATTGTAGTTGAAGATCATCGTGTCCAATCTGTGGCCCAGTAACAATAGCCAGGTACTACCTAGTTACAAAATTCTGGTATTACCAGTAACAATATTCTGGCACTACCTGTGGCTCAGTAACAATAACTTGACACTACCTGTGGCTCAGTAACAATACCCTGATACTACAAAATTTTGGTATTACCAGTGAAAAAGTGCCAATTAACTGGTATTAACAGTGGTCAAGTAAGAATACCCAGGTACTGCCTGTGGCCCAGTAACAAACTTCTGGTACTACCAATGGCCTATAGTAACAATATTTTGGTACAACCTGTGGCCCAGTAACAAACTTCTGATACTACCAGAAGTCCAATATCGATAACCTGACAGAGTAACAGACAGAATAAAGAATAAACCGTGAGTCGAGCAGTAGATTGTTATAAGAATGTTATCTGATGGTAACAACCAACATTTGCCTCTGAAAGGAGATACGCCCCTGTGTTATTGCTTTTGGTTGATAATAGAGTGCTGAAAATGCCTGGCTCTGGACTGTTAATATTAGGCACTTCTTGTAAGAAATAAGAGGTGTGGGACAAAAATCGTCCCTCTGATGTGATGAAAACGTTTAAGAAAGTAAAACATTAATTAAATAGTTTATTGTGGTAATATATATATCAACCAAACGAAATATATAATTTCAAGATGGACGGATAAACATTTTATATGTTTTAATACAGATTCTCAGATAACCGGTGACTTTTCATTTAATCATTAAAATTGAAACTTGGTGAAAATTACTAAAGGATGAACATAAAAACAATCGAAAATATTATATTTGAGTTATGTTATTTGAACTGCTCGTAAACTATCTAGGAGGGACAGATATTGACAGATTTAAAATCTAAAATAATCTAAAAATTGCACTTATTAATCAGGACGGAGCCCTAAAAATAAATAAGAATATTCTTATTCTTTGAAAATGCCTATGCATTTGGATCAAAACTATAAATTGTTCTGGGTGAAGTTTATGACAAAAAGTTGAATTATTTCATACTGGTGACAGTCAAATGTTCAAGGTGTCAGTATTTGGAATTTGCTATTTTAGGAATTATAAAGCCTTGGATTGCATCGCAAAAGAAGTATGCAGACAGACCTTATTTAAGACTGTCCCTTTATGAGAATTCGCAGTTACTGGACAACCGAAAGTTATAATAGTTTTTAAATAATTATTGTAAGTAAAATATATAAAGATAATTATGGTTACAGGAATCATAGCAGCAAAATAAGATTGAAAAAAAGGTCCACAACATTTCTAGACTTCTTTCTCAGACAACCTTCAGCAACCTTCAACGCAACACTGGAAAATAACAAGAACAATAGCATTTAAGAATTTGAATGAAAAGCATCTGACATCCTATACCGACAAATCTTGCCCCATCCGATCCTCGGACGTGATATACGGATGTGATATGCCACGTGCCGATATCTCATCCGTCGTTCACACGTCCGAGTAACGGACGAGGCCAGAATTTAAACTACTCTTTTATTTCTTGTTAAAAACACAGTACCTCAGCGCCTTAGAATTGCATGTGTGAAAATGCACAATTTCAAGGTCAATAATAATTATATTTATATTCCCATTATATATATAGGTATATAGGACTCAACTACAATTGAATGGTAGGTATATCGGTGTGTTACTGTTTCGAGTTACGTTTGTTTGAGAAAAAAATACAGCTGAAAGTAGTCTAAAGCTATACTTACTAAGATCATCCATACAAATATCCACCATGGACAGAGGAAACATATTATACAGTGCATACAATGATTAACACCTCGTCTGCAATATATAATTGTAATTTTATAATCTCAGTTATCAGATCGGCTTAAAATTCCACCGAAGCTAATGCGAAAGACGATTTACAGAGCTGTTGCAATTTTGAGGTGCTACTTTTCCCAAAGTTATATAAGGATATCAGTTCTCCCTGTTTAAACGAATACAAACTCTGAGAATGAACAATATTCTCAAACATTTCGTACTCTTATTGACAAAGTTTGGAGTTTAATGTTATGTTCATTGTAAGATGTAAGACAAATCCAGGATGTGTTTATTTTCGGGATTAACACTTACTTCTCATGGACGATCACTGTACTAGCTGCTGGTTGATTGACAACAACTGTGTTAGTTGTTTGCTGGAAGTTCATAGAATAAGAATAAGAATTAGTCTCTTGCCAAATTATACATACTAGTGATACAAGTCTATTAAATTTAGTATTTTAGAGGCTTTCTTCCTCTATGAAGTGACCTAAATGTCCTCTCTTTTCCTTATTGATATACAAGTATGAAATTAGCCAATGTGAAGCAGACTTTAGACAGAGGGGTTCACTAAGTCATTTAGTCCCCCCCCCCCCCCCCCCTTCACATAAGATAAGATAAGATAAGATAAGATAAGTTTATTGTATCAAATACGCCCATTAAAGACATCATACAACGAGTGGTACATTTGAAAGGATATAAATTACTAAATTTACAGAATTCAACAAAAGGTAGATGATGAATTACATTATATTAATAATTCACAGAGAAAAATACATAGTACTAATCTAATGTAAAGGCATAAAATTGTATAGCATAAATTTATAAAATAAAATAAAGAATATAAAACGACGAGTCGACTTGTAATAAATGGAAAATAAATCACACGATAATGTGCAAACGTAGGAAAAGTCGATACAATTAACTACGTTAAGCGAAAATAACAAAATTAGACGAGAAAGGTACTATCTCTATATGTACTCAAATATAGGGTATTTAATGCATATTGAACAAAATAAAATGAAAAATAAGAGAAAAAAATAAAAAAATAACTTCAACGTTTTATTTTTCTTTTCTCAAAGCATAATAATTGAAATGAAATATATTCTTACATTGAGGTACAACTATATACAATGAAACAACCACATTTAATACCCCCATTTAACCAAGGGTTGTTTTGGTTCCGAAAATACCCGATATATTTTTGGTCGATCGGGCTCATTTTTACAAAAAAGTCGTTAACCTGCGAGCATTATAGAGCACTGCCCTACACATTGGGGGGGAAGATTTGGAGCAATGGACGCCGAGGGAAGAGCACAGAAAAGTGAGCAGCTACTAGTATTTACATTCGGCTTGATCTCGGCCAGATTTTCCCCGATGAATAAAATTAATTTTTTGATCAGCCTCCAATCGTCCCGAATTGACTCTGATCGTCATGGATCGCCTTTGAACGACCGAAGACCGTCCGAGGATCTTTTACTTTCGGTTTCCTGTAGCTCCTTTCGTCAACCTACGGCTACATTTGGCCACTCTCGACTAAACAACGTGCGAAGATCGTTCTCTTGCGGTGAGCAGTGGGTCTCTACCGGGCCTTTGTCGTGTACCTACGCAAAATCGATAAACGTCTTTGATTCGTCCCTCCGCAAGAATCCAGTGGTTCGGGTCATAAAAGGGGACGACAATCGGGCCGATCAAAAAAAATAAATCATCCGGGAAAATCTGGTACAGATCGGGCCGATTGGAAAAAAGCAATCCTTGGTGAAATAGGAGTATAGCGGCATCTCACTAGGCAAATGGAAAATATCGGTTTGGGAATGTCGGTTTACAGTGGATGTGGTTTGAAAGGTTCAATATAATTAAAATTCTCAAATATGGAACAATAAATATTCAAAATTTCAGAATTATGGTCCGATTTCCCTTTTAAATTATTTGAATAATATAACCATATATCCTAGCTCGCTTAAGCCAACATTTCACCAAGAATTGTTTTTCTTTCCAATCGGCCAGATCTGGGCCAAATTAATTATTTTTGATCAGCCAAACTTTTGTCCTGGGTGGATTTCATTTGTCCCGATTGAAACCCATCCAAAGCACATGTCCACGCTTCGACGAAATTCAAGTACGCACAAATACTCAGGGTTGGGTTTTGACCGGACAAATCTAGGTTTTGACCGGCCAGTGGACACAACTGAATAAAACCAGGGTTTTAACCGGTTTAAACAACGCTAAGCGGGAAAAAAACTGGTCAAAACTAAAAGTTCAATGGTTTTCATAGAAAAACACTCTCGTATGTTTTGTCTATATCATGGTAATTGAATCTATAAATTACACTCATTGTAATATAAAGCTCCTCTGAGTCCACCAGCGATGATAATGAACAGTTGGACTCTTACATAACACCTAAATTTGAGTTATCTATAAAGTCTAAAGTCTGTGTTGAACTGTTGCAGACCCAACTGAGTAAGAATTGGCATCAGCATCT